GGGCCCAAATTTCTACCCTATATACTTCAGCACTCCTTTCAGATCGTGTTTCACAAAAAATTTTCCGAAAATTACTTATCTTAAAAAATAATATTGTAAAACTGACATACATTTTCGAACAAATGATAAGGATACATTTAAAGGCAAAATTTTGCAAAATCCCACTCTTTTCTTCATTATATCAATTATTGACTAATGAGAGATTACGCTAGTTAAATGTGAGAAACAATACTGATCGTAGTAGCCAGTGTATGTGTTCTTTTCAGATTTAACCAACACAAGTATATGACTGGATTACAGATATTAACAATAAAATATTCCATTATACGGAAGACTCCTCCTCTAAGTTTACATGACGTTAGCTGAGAGAGAGTATATATATATATATAAATGTTTCACACTATCGGCTACATCAAATTAGCTAGGCTAAGCTAAGTTAATATTGAAGCTATATTCGCATTTTAGTACATTGATCTTGGACTAATTTTCTTTGTTTAACTTTTTGTGCATTTATAAAAATTGATGCAAATCAGAGACGTGCCTAGGGCAGAACGAGATAGAACGCAAGTTCAAATTTCGCCCTGTCCTGCTGCCCGCCTGGGCATGGGTGCTAGCACGACAAGACAGCAAAAGTTGTCCTGTGCATGTCTCTAATTCAAATCAAGAAATTTAACAAACTTTATGATGACTAATATAGAGTGCCAAAAAGCAAAGACTTTATCTTTATCTTCCTACAATTATGGTTCTTTCTTAATTTTAATTTGACTTTTCTAGAGTGTAAGTTTTTTATGTTCAAATTATGTTTTATCGTTTAAAAAATTCTATTTAAATATATTCTGTCTATTTTTCTAGCTATTCAAATAACTCTTACATGTTCAAATGTAGATAATTTAAAGCAATGTGAAAAAAGAATAAATAATTATTTAAACCGATCAATTTTTAAAATAAACCTAGATGGATTTGAAAATTGGAATCAAGACATGATCAATGCTTTTTATAAATATTCTATAGATAGATGTACTTTACCTAAATTAGATAAAGATGAAAAAGTTGTATTACATGGCCCGATAAACAGTGTTTATGAAGTTAAACAAAAATATGCTTTGATAAAAACATTAGCTCAAGAAAAAACCAATTTATTATCATTATTTTCAACTGAAACATTATTTGTTGACTATACTATTATGTTGAGTTATTCACCAGATGATTCAATAGTATCACAACGTTTAGCTAATTTTCTTATTGACGAAGGTTTTTCTGTATGGTTAAATTTAAATCAATCAAGAAACAATGAAGAACATTTTGAAATGGTAAACAAATCTTATTGTATTATTCTTTGCATAAGTAAAAATTATTTTCATGATAAATTATGTGAACAAGAAGCAAAATATGCAAATCAAATAGGAAAATGCATTATTCCTGTAAAAGTTCAAAATTATGAACCAATCGAATGGTTAGAAAAGTTAATTGAAAAAGAATCATACTTTCAATTATTTGGATCAGAAAATCATTTTAACTTAGAATATGATAAATTATTATTGAAACTTGTAAGTTTGTTTGACATTTATCAAAACGAAAGCAATATATCGAATTCACTTGAATTATAGAAAATTAGTTTTTCATATCATGTAAAACTACTTATTTACTTGAGTTGATTGTTAAAATCAAGAGAATAATTAATCGAGGTTAAATTTGAATATTAATATTTATCGCATCATTTTTAACTTTAATTTTATGGCTTAATCACAGATTTTAATGCATTTCAATACGGGCTGTTTTTAAAATTTTCTAAATTGAACAAGATTCATATCATTCATTGTAAGATATATGAGTCTTTAATAAACTGCAAGAAAATATTATTTTTTCTATCTTTAATAAGCATTCAAGTAACTTGTGGGCTAAATTTTGTCGCCTTAAAATTCATCTAATGTATTTTACTTACATTCTCCTGTTGAAATAAATCGATAATAAAACTTTCTCTCTTACAGAAGATATTTTTTCTTACATTTTATATCTTAGTGAAACGCAGCCAAATCGTCTGTTGACTAGCAAATTTTAAAAAGCAAGAAAACTGGATATATGTATATATATTTGAAAATCTCTACAAAGCTATCAAGTCTAGTGGTACATGGACGTATTGCCATAAACATAGATAAAATAAATTGAGTACAAAATTCTTTTTTTTTTCCATCATGTTCTGATCAAACAGTTGATTTATGTAACATGTAAGATATTTTCTCTTGTCTTAAAGTTGGATGTCCAATTTCCATTTTTCGATAAAAAAAAAACATCGTTGTTTAACTAGCTAGCTATTCACTTCGATCCACCCTTTTTTTTATGTTACGCTCTTCACTTTTAATCGATATCATTTGAAAATGATTTCATATGAAGTTACTTAGCTACATGATTGAAAAAAGAAAACACCATCTTCAATTGATGTTTAATCAATTTTGATTTCAGTTCCAATGTATAGCAAACAGTTATATCCACTCATTTAAGCAAGCATCTGATCAATCGAATGTTTTACAGGCGAATGGTCCTATCAAATGTGTAGGAACTAATAAAGAATTTGACTTTCTACTAACACCAGACCAAAACAAAGTCAAGTATGAAAATTATATTCAAAATTTAGCTAAATCAGAAAAAGGAAAAATAACTGACAATGATAAAAACAACCTGACAGAAAAAATACAAGATATTATTCATGCAAAAGAAAATCAATGCAGAAAGTATTTGTATGAAAATAAGTGGTATTGCTGTGTGTATCCATTGATTTTACAACTTATTTCTCATATTTTCTTTCTTGATAGATTTACAAACTCTAGATAGTCCAGAGAAGCAACAAAAAAAAGATAAAATCAAGCAATGCGTATGGTTTAATATTGGAATCCTATCTTACAAACAATGGTTAAACAAAATAGAAAATTTTAAAACAACATTAAATATTGCACCATTTACATATACTGGTGATGTTAATAAAGCGATTTTCCCTATGTTGAATGAAGTTTTACGAAATTCATATTTATTATTATCCTTACGAAAGCATTATCCAATAGAAAAAGAATTCAATAATCTTGCTGAACAGAATAATAATCGTACTATAAGCGGCTCATTTAAAAAGAGATCGTTAATGATATTAAAACATCAAGAAGAAATGACTTGTAAAAACTTAAATCTAAATGATATTGATTCTCAAACAACATCAATTCGAAAAAGCACTTCACTAGTTTGTTTTTCTAACAATAAAAACATGTCAAAAAACAGTAGAAAGATGAAACAAGATTTTAAGAAAACTTGTAAACAGCAACTCATTGTGCTTAAACAATGTCCCGCAAAAGCGTCTTTAACAGAAAAAGAACTGTTAGACTTTAAATTCAAATTTGCTGAACGAATGAAAACGAATGAGTATGAATTTGAAAAGTTCTGTGAAAATTATAAACATTCATTATGTTCATCGTCCAAACAAAACATAAATAAATGTTCAACAGCTATATTTGGCCCATGTCCATTTTCAACTGTAACAATCGAATCATTTAAAACGATAAAAACAAACAATAGTACTGAGCTTCCATTAAAATTTCCTTGGAATGGAGTTTTTGATACAAAAATACCATCAACAACATGGAAAAATCCGACAATAGTCTTCTACTTCGAAACAAAATCATCCGAGGCGCATCACATAAAATAGCAATTTCATTTTTGTGTACTCTTCATAGTTAAGATTTTTATCAAATAAAAGAAATTTCATTACAAAAAATGATGTTTGCCACGTGATATTCAGTCATTTTCGTGCATAAAAAACTTTAAATATAATAAATATTTTTATTCTTATAATTAAATTAGATATTGATGTAAAAATATCGAATAGAAATGAAAACTAAATCATACGAAAAGACTTGTTTTATTATTTTTCCATCAATCGGTAAATGTATACTATGTTTTCATTATAAGCAGGTACAAACATTTCTAGATATCCATCGTTGTCAACGTCTTCAACAGTAACTTGACCAATCGTTGATTTTTCAGATTTATGAATTATTGTTGTTGAATATTCCCAATTCGATGGATCATTATCATGAATCGCTTCTAACAAATAGACACAACCATCATCATCACCAGACAATATTAAAATTGGTTTCTTCCGAATAGCAAGAGAATAAAATTGAATTGCAATGCCTTCTCCTGGTGCTCCTCGACCTTTGGCTTGTGTTAGTGGTTTAAATCCACTTGCAAGAATATGTTTTACGAAGTTTCCCGTACGAATTTCACCTGAAGGTGGAAGTTCATAAGCAATGAGTGAACCATTAAATTCATCATTGACAGTAACAAGTAGATCAGGTTTATTATCACCATTAAGATCTACGGTTAATTGCACGTATGCATATGGAAGTGGTTCATAGTCAATATGACGTACATGTAATTTAGTAGTATCATTCCAAAATGGATCTGAATCAGACCAAAACATTTGAAGTTTCCTTTCAAAAAATGAATTCGCAAAAAGAACCTAAAATAATAAAAATAAAGAATTTTCAAATTTTTTTCAGCACCAACAGATCATACTTGTAAGGAATCAACTATGGCAAATTGTACTTGAATTTCTGGTCCACCATCCGATAGTAAATAGTTAAGTTTCCAAGGACCAGTTATCGTTCGATTTCCTGGATTTTTCAGCCAAATTAATTGAGTTCTAGGTGCACCGATTAATGGAACATTTGCACGTCCCGCTATTATGTCAATAAAGCCATCTCCGTCCATATCTTTGAATTCAGCATCATGATAGAACCAATTTGTTTTATCACTTGGTACTAACGGTGTTATAGTAGTTTCAGAGATGAAATAAAGATTTCCGTTAGTTTTACCAGGCACAAGAAAACCACTTGGAACAATCATAGAATATTCTACTAATGGATCTGCTGATACGATACCGTTCGGCCATGTTATTTGACTGGTTATACGTGTTGGTATAATCTGTGTTGTTAATTGTTGTCCTATATTAGGTACACTGTAAACAGAGTCTGTAGTTTCTGGAATTGCATTGAAACAAGAAATAAATAAACCCCATGATGTTGAATTTAATGTCCATGTACGAAGAAGCGTTAAAAAGCCAGGATGAGCTAATTCGAATTTATTTATAAGAACTGGTGAGATCTCACTTTTTGTCAATAAAGGACAAGTTAAAGTACTCACAAGAGTAATAAACTGATAAAGTTGCATCCTATGAGATATAATAAAAAAAGTAAATGTAAATGTTTTATCTATACCATATTTGTTTTATAATCATGGTCATGTGTGCTGTAAAAGAAAACAACATTCTGCAGTGTCTTGCATTATTATGTAATACAGTTACATTTGTATGTCATTTTTTTATCAAATAGTACCTGACTAGTCTTATATGAGCGATGATTTAAAAATGAAAATTTTATTGATAAAGTTATTTTTCATTATCATTTAAATTAGGAATTTCTCGTTTTAGTCAAATCAAAAAAAATTTTACCATAATTTATTTCAGTATACTGCCTAAATTTTAACAACTGATTGATCGTTTATTCTATGCCACTTTAATATGTTTACTTAAGATATCACGCTATCTGTGCTATATTTGAAAACCAATAAATTTTAAATAAGCATACCGATCAATAGCTTCGTGCGAGATTTAACATTCATTTGACTTTTTTCTTATTCAAAGAATTACAAATTTTCTTGTATATCATAACATTAAATATATGTGTGTGTGTGTTTGTTTTTTGTCGAGCATGGTTATGATTTCCTAATCTTTTTGTTTTTAAATAAATGCGACTTATCTGGGATAGCTAATATCATAGTGAATTCCGCCAAACAATATCGTCATTTACCTTGCCAGTTTCTATTGTGATTTGTTATTTCATGAACAATCAGTGGTGGATTTTCGAGAAAAAAGTACTGAGGGATAATAGTTTAATTTTCGGAAAAAAGGATTGTAATTTTCCTAGCAAAAAAGACTCAGCTGATATCACTCATGATAACCCTCAAGATATTTTTATGATCACGAACACTTCTAGTCTCCATAGTAGTTTCTCTGATCTTCACTTTATCGTTACCAATCATAAACGTCTAGATTCGTCACTAGTGTGCAAGCTAGCGTCGACATTAATGATGATATTCACGTAGATTATGTGCATCATCTCATTCCTTATATTCACTTACGAACTCATGGCCTCGTTTCGTAAATTCTAGATTTCTAGACTGAATCATCATATATATCGAAAGTTTTATCAATGCCGTCATTATCGATTAACTACAAATAACTAGTTGACAGCCGAATAAGTATGATATCGAACTAGATCTTTGACAGATATAAGCATGTTTTTTATACAACTAAATTTTGTTCATTACACTAACGAATAGCCATATGTGACTCGAATTGTTTTTTATGTTTATCATTTGATTGATAAGATATTTAGATGAAAATATCCATATAGAAAATACTGCTGTCAAATCTACTGATTTAGCAAGAAGATTTTCCACTATTGAACTTTTGTTCTAGCGAAGAAATCTCCTGAAACCACAAGCTAATTTTTCATAATCGTTGCTAACTTTTCGATGTGTTATCAGTTAGAATTTTTTTAACAACTTGAATCAATCAAACGAAAAAAAAAGAACTTTTACACTATTTCATGTGTTGAACAATCGCGAAGAAACTACACTGTTTCTACTTGAGTTTTCAAAAACTAAGATGATCGAATTCATAAACAAATACTATAACAAAGACTTGTACAAATGTGAACAAGAGGAAAGAGCTAACGGTATAGACGAACAATCTGTTATTTTTATTTTTATTTTTCAATTACAAATACATCAATCTTGGTTTCTTTGATGATTAATTATCAGCTGATCAGATGATATTCAATGAAGTATACACATAAACTTTCTATCTCAGTTAGATGTTATTATTTGTTACTACATTTATTCGTTAAGAAGATCTAACGCATGACTAATCGTTTGCATTCAGGTCATTAACTGCTTAAATAAACTAAGGAAACGATGTCATTTATTATCATACGATGCGAGAAAATTTTTTTTTCTATTAACAACTGACTGATTTCTTAAGAGAGAAAAAATTAGGCGCTGAGGCTATTCGGTCGAGTATACAAAGAAAGAAGAAGAAAAAAGAACGATAGACATTTGTCTTGTCGATTGAAGTTGAGTTCTATGCCGTTCAATTAACATACATTTTCTTCTTCGCTTCATTCTTATATTCATTTATTCGTTGATACAATGTTGTTTGCTGTATTCTTCTTGTATGTCTGTTCATTGAGTACAGCGGATAATTTTTTCCCATCAAGTATTAATCGTTGTCTACCAATTCCATCGAATTTTTCTTTATGTTATGGCCTTGGTTATACACAAATGCATTTACCGAATTTGCTTCACTATGAAACTATAAATGAAATTGAACATGAATTACCTTTATGGCAATCACTTCTCGATTTAGAGTGTCATGCAAATTCTCGATTATTGCTCTGTTCGATATTAGCACCGGTATGTCTTCAGCAAATATCAGAAAGACGAACACTTGTTTCATTTGATAATAATCAAGATTCGAGACTTTTAATGACACATGAAAATCGAAAATTTCTATATCCTTGTCGTACACTTTGTGAATCAGTCAAACAAAGTTGTGAACCAAAAATGATAAAACAATTTGGATATAAATGGCCAAATACAAGTAAGACTTAATCATCGAACTCAAACGAAACGTAACATAATCTATAATTTAAAATAATATTTTAGTTGCCTGTGATCAATATCCAGAAGAAACAGATCTATGTGTGTCTCATTCTTCATCATCAACAACTAGTACATTACCATCAACCACTAGTACATTACCATCAACCACTAGTACATTCAAATCTCCAATGATTTCAAAGGCCCATTTATGTTTCATGTGTCAATCACAAGCCACTGTAAGTGATTTACTTAATGACTATTGCCGTTCATCGATTGTGGTTCGTACTCGTCCAATTAAAATGTCATCAATATCAGAAAATAATTTCATATTTGCAAATAAGTATAAAGTTCGATATTTTAAACGATTAGATAACAATGAAATGAAATTTGATTTTCCAATTAAAAATTGCTCATGTATCAAATTAAATTCACCAATTGTTTTATTTCTTTCATCAAATGGCGAAATTATTCGATTTATATCCGTTAAACGAAATCCGCGCGTGTTTAAAAGATTTCGAAATACAATAGTTTTACGAAAACCTCGATGCCACGTCGATTATAAATTTCATTGAACAATCTCCTTTTTCTTAATTTGAAATTTAGATGATAGTTGTCATTGTACGAGCCACTGTTTCATGCTTAATAAATCAAAACTCAGCATTGAAGTAATAGATGCATTTTTATAATTATTATGCGACTATTGATCCACAATATTAATTAACATAGAATAAAAAGACAAATGAAATAGCTTAAATAGAATTATAAAATCAAGTTATTAAATATATCTGTCAAACAATTGATGGTCTATTGGAAGTATTATACTCATACAAGTGTATGATTCATTCAGTTCTAGTACTTCTTTTAGCAATCTAATCATAACCAATGAGTAAATTTGAGCTCACATTAGGATGTTTCCCTAGGTTACATTTATCATCATTATCTCATGATTCCAAATTGTTCACTTGATTCAACGTCTAATTACATTCATGCTTATGAATATTTTTTCCGATAAAAGTAAGCAATCAGTAATTTACAATGGAACAAAACTGTAGCTGCTTCAAAATCATTGACTATAAGTTGTCTTCATTAGCTAAAAATCAATTATATCAGTGATACAGATGATTTAATAACCAATGGATTAACAGCCACTTGACCAATCGGAATCCGAAGTTGTAACTACGTCTAAACTAAGAAGCAAGTGTACTGATTACATGATATCAAGAAATAAAACAAATAAACTGTAAGTTCAATGAAATAATCAACAAAACAGAAGTGTATTTGAGTGAAGAATAATGTAAATGCTTTATTCTTGTGTCACGATGCTATATTATGAGTCACTATAAAGAATGAAAATTTTTACCTTTGAATCTAAAAAGTTATACAACAATAGAGAAAATACATATGAAATATTCTATATGTTAGAAGAAAGGAATATCGACGTTTTCATTTCACATTTCTTATCACATATATCTTATTACATAAGCCTAAATTCTAGTAAGAAAATATAATTTTTATCCATAGAGAAATGACGAGTTATAAAGTATTCATAAAATTTTAATATTGTCTAATAAAATATTTTCTAGCAGTGTTAAATTCAATTGTCACCTTTATCTTCTGTTGCTTTCAAGATTAAACTAAGCGAAAAATCATAGAGCAAACCCGCTAGCTACGATTGAAATAATCGTATAATCTATATTTTAATAAAGTGGCATTCCATCATCTTAGAGAAATAAATCCTATCTATGCGAGGAGAGACACATACTAGGATTAAACGATGCAAAAAAAACCATTCGACATAATGAAGATAAGCACAGACATTTGAAATGAATTAAATTTCTAAGAAAAATTCATATTTTTCATCAGGGAATTAAATGTTATAAATATTTTAAAATTTTCTTTATGATAATTTTCTTGAATTCAGAAACATTTTAAAATGTTCAAACAGAATTCTATATTGTTCATTCAGTTTTTTAAGAAAGATCACTGACGGCAATTCTTTAGGAAAACGAAATGCCTGTCAAATACAAATATTTGTGTTCACTAAGGATTCTTTTCCTGACACAAGTACACATACTGATTGTGATTGTTGCGCATAGCAAAGTTTTTGAGATATTCCGAATATAAACGTTATCAAACGTTACGACTAATATAGTTTTTTCGGTCACGTTAACTATACTTGTATAGATATTATGTTTTTATAAACTAAAACATAACATATTTGATCAAATTTCTTAGTTAGTTCGGAAAAATCTTCCTTTACTTATTAGTTATTAGATGAAATACTATGGAATCTGTATTGTCAATATATTTCATATGTTGAAACTTTTCAACACCGTAAAATACAACCATTCATTTCAAGTTATCGTTATCGAAAGATGTCACTCTTCTCCTCGTATTATGTACATTTCAACTACAGTCATCCAAACAATTTGACTTTTCTCAGTTATGATTTTTTACCTCAATAAACGTAACAAACATTCCAGACAATTATCACATGTTAAGTGTCTACAAGTTGAAGTACAAAAACGATCTTGCAATATTTCTCTTGTATAATTCATTTCTTAGCAACAAGATAATAAAAATAAATGAGTCGTCACTGTTTTTAATTTCACCACTGTAAAGAACGAAAAACACAATGAGTCACAATAATAGAGCTTATAAAAAAATACATTATGTTAACTGGCAACACTTCCTTTCAGCTATCTCAATTTTTCACTGAAAGGCACAGTTTTTTGATTGTTTTTAAAGTTGAATATTGAAAGAATTGCGAAAATTTTCCAATGATGTAATAAAATATCTGAAGTAGAACTACTTAATACTATTTTACTAGGTTTTTATTACTTGCAACTATTATGCGTCTAACAAGATCGATTATTTAGTCATTATACAGATCAGTTTGTTCTTGTAGAATTGTTGAATTATTTATTTTAAGTTGGATAAATATTGAATATTGGAATAATTCAAAATTTGTCGACTGCCGACAATTCCGAAATTAATTATAACATTGGCAATATCATGGGATGTGGACGTAAGAATTTTTATAACATGTCGCAAAATACTAATACTTTCATTTTAACTGAATATTCCTTGCCTTTTATCAAGCATCAGTCTTTACTCTAATTTTTCATTTTAGAATCTCGAATTTCACCAGTAATTAATCCTGTAGCTGGCTCTGAAAAAGGTAATGTACCAACATTTTTCTTTAGCGAATAATTAAGTTAATCACTGTGATGCTATTCGACCTGTATTTCTTATAAAAGCTATATTTCATGGGAAAATCATTTATTCTGTCATAGATTTCAATTGTTTTAACTATATTGTAGAACAAAAAGAGTCAGAAAATATTAGAAAACCTGCCGTTTTTTTTTATACATAGTCTTCTGACAGTGACCCGACGGATGTTACTCGGATAATAAGCTTGGTGTTACTGACAGCCTGAAATAGTCCAGATATGGAAAGAATATTGTTCGTGGAATAGAATACAAACAAGGAGCTTGAGCCCTTTTCAGAAAAAATAAAGAATTTTTATGAGTAGACAAGTTTTGGACTACCAGCATCCGCTCCCGTACCTATGATTGCGCTACAATTCTTGCGGGAACTTTTCTCACAAGCAAGATCATGATAGTTAAAAGGCTAATAAATCAAAGTTGAAAATTAACATATGAATTCGGTAATCTTCGATGAATGAGAAGAGATTGTTTTTTTCATGAGTAACTCACTAATAAAATGCTGAAATTATTGGAAAAAAAATCAGCATCGTGTGACAGGTATCTTGAAAGATACCATTTAATATTTATCTTTCCAAATTAACACGTATGAATATAAGCGAATATTAATTTTGATTTGTCGAATTTGATTATGAAAAACACTATTAGCTTTTACTGTATTTATTTTTCGTTATTTACTGAGAAGTAAACAAGATTTCATAATCAAACTTTGTAACAATATTATTAGTAACGGTTTATTTTGATAGAAGAACAACTACATTCACATTCTGGTTAGATTCTTTATGCTAATTCTGATAATATGGAAAAGCTATTTCGCACGGCGACATTAAAAAGACTAGAAGATTGAGTAGAAATAATGTATTAAAAAAATCTTGTTCTTATCACTTTATAAAGGAAATGCTTTATTTCATAAAAACTATATGCAATCTGAATGCTTGTTTCCTACAAAGGCTTCTAGTCTAAGGTCGACTTAATGGATTAATAAAACAATCTAACATTTCAAATTTTATTTTTTTCAATTCATTTTTAGTTATTTTGCATAAATGTCAAGAAATATAAACTAAGAGAATAACATCATTTTTTTCTTCTTGTAATAAACGTCTGTATTCCAGTTTGATTGATTATGGATAAGAATTCAATATTTAGATATTTAGATATTTAGATCTACGTTGGCTTTATCCTAAATATCATGACGACAATCAACAAACTATCTTCAGACCTCATGAGCTTGAATCATTCTTGCGCAACCCGCCTTCAACTATTGACACTAAACTACTTAATTCTATTCGAGGTTCCATTTTCGGTCTAGCTCTAGGCGACGCTCTTGGTGCTCATGTTGAATTTAGACCTCATCAGTACATGCTTGAACATCCAGTCGAAGAACTTGAACAAGGAGGTACTTGGGGTCTTAAAAAAGGACAGGTAATCAATTTAGAGAACCCAAGATCTAAAGTTAAGCAATTTGAAACCTTTATGATTTAGTTTACTGACGACACTTCTATGGCACTTTGTTTAGCTATTTCATTAATAACTGAAGGCGAATTTAACCCATACAATCAATTAGTTTTTTACAAATATTGGTACAGAAAAGGCTATATGTCCTCTACAGGACAATGCTTTGATATTGGGTCAGCAACTAGACAATCATTAAATGAATTTGAATACCGTCAACGTCATTTTGCTAAGAAAAATGATATCCCTGTGGAAACTTTAGATTTTCAAACTGACACGGAGATTTTACATAATTTTGATGTGTATTGTGGCAAAATAGATGCAGCTGGCAACGGAGGTCTTATGCGTCTTGCACCAGTACCACTCTTCTTCCATCAAGATCCGAAGAAAGCTGTTGAATATTCAGGCCTAAGTACTAAAACAACTCACGGAGATCCCAAAGCTTCTGATGCATGCCGCTTTTATGGCGCTTTGATTGTAGCTGCTGTTCAAGGAGCATCAAAGGCACATTTATTAGATAGTAATTTCTACAAAATCCATAAAGATTGGTTTGGTGATGAACCACTTCATGAAGATGTGAGGGAAATTGCTGAGGGATCTTATAAACACAAAGACGGTTATAAAGCTGGTATTCGAGGTAAAGGATTTGTTCTTAACAGTTTAGAAGCTGCTCTATGGGCATTTTGGTCCGATGAGGATTCATTTGAGAAAGGTGCTTTGGCTGCAGTCAATCTCGGTGATGATACTGATACGACCGCAGCTATTTATGGACAATTAGCTGGTGCTTGTTACGGTTATAAAAAATTACCAATTAGATGGGTTCAACATGTCTATGCAGCGAAGTTTATTACATGCCTGTGTAAATGGATTGCTTATCTAGGCATAATATGGTCCGAACGAGAACAATGATTATCCTAATCGGAAGTTCAAACTTTGGTTGAATGAAACCAATAAAAGGATTCTGATCTCACATATAATTGCCTCCTGATAACCTCTTACACATAGAAAAGAAACTAATAAATACAAACTGAATTCATAATCGAATATTGTTGATAGGAAAACGCAATTTGGAGATCAAGAATACAATAGTCACTTTTTAAATCATTTTTCAGCACAAAAACGAAACAGAAATTTTCGTATAGTAAGTATATGTATGTACATATTACAATAACAGAAATGATTTGTATGTGGTTTTAATTGAAATTATATTCATTGAATAAAGCATATCAGTTAGTGCAGAATTTAAAAGCACTACATGGATCATATGTAAATTATGGAGACATTTTTGAAAATACTAACAGCATAATAATTGTTGGGCCTCTCGTTATTTCACTGACGTGAGCTTAAACCGACGATTCAAGTTACTAATACCGTACGATAACTCATAAAAAGAGGAAGCATGTTGAAAAAGAAAACATAGTTTCATTGAAGAATCTTTTGTCAGCGATTTCGTGAATCTGAATACAGGTGATTTACTAGTTTTATTCCAATTAGCTACTTACTTGATTTAATTAACCTATTATATAGAATATTAATAGGGATTTTCTTTCAATTTTCACATCATAAATATATTTGATGTGAAGTTTTTAACTGATTAAATTGGAAATCATACTCAGACATTGATCGTAAATTCATCATAATATTGAATGATGCCGTCTTTTCTGCTGAATGAAAAAGAAGCAGAATACCATTTATATTGTGCATGTATACATATCTTTATTTAACTCAATTACAAACAGATCAAAGTTATGAAGGGTAGAAATAAGTTCATTTCATCAAAAGCTCTTTTGAATTATTATTTAATTAATTACAAATTGTAAATGAAATATAAGAATTTAATTTTGTTTTAAATAAATCATTGATAAATTTTCGATGTCTTCTTTGAGAAGAACGTTCATACCCATAAATGAATGTGCACCAATATGACAATGAAACATCCACAAACCTGGATTATTCGCGATCATGCGTAATTTTGTCCATCCGCATGGCATCCGATGATTGGAAACATTTCGATTCGGTGAATAATAAGCATAAGAGCTGGCATAAATCATTAACGAATCACGTAGTACTGGGTCGTGTCTATCAGGCCAGATATTATGTACAGCATTGTACATACCAGTTCCATACGAATGTATCCAAAATTTATGTCCATGCATATGCATTGGATGTGATTCACATATGCCATTGAGTGCAACCGTATTTTGAACCACAATATCAACTAATTGATCATGTTCTAAAGTATAAACAACGTCATGTGGGAGATTTTGTTCATTTCCATGATACAAATCCATCAGAAGAGATGTAGTAAGATTTTTTAAACGAAGCATATCGAATGTTGCATTGTTGGTTAACCAACGAATACCTTTTCCATCGGGTGTATATTCTTGACCAGTATGTAAAATGAATTCAGTATCAGCACGACCTTCATGGCCTGGCGGCATTCTTTCTGATTTAAGTAATGTTTGATATCGCTCACGAAATGCAAATAAGAATAATTCAGTCTCATTAAATAATGATGGAAGTTCCAATGATGTTAAATTCGTAGAAAGTGAAGATTGTACGCCATATCGTAAGATTCCAATACAACTAGAAAAATAGTTAGAATCGTTTTTAGAGTAGAAAGTAATTTATATAAAAGAAAACGTATTGTATAAACCTCGAGTTAGCTGCTGCTACTCGCCATCGAATAGCTGCTTGCATAGCAAAAACACCGCTATATTGACTTTTTGTCTCGATCAGTACCGCATATCTTTGTCCAGAAGCAATTTCGATTGATGTTATATTAGGTTTTGGTATCACTAGTTTTCCGTCGACCTCGACAACAGTCATCGGATGTTCCGTTATGCCAAATACAATCGTAGACAAACTTGTAGCACCAATTAATCGTAGCAAATAAATCTCTCCTGGATCTAGCGTCAACAAAAAATTTCGTTGACCATTCATATACAAATTGGATGGTTCTCCTTCCCATTTAAATGGTGACTCAAGTAAACCAGCTTCTTGTTCAAGACGATCAACTCCTTCCCAGTGATCAGAAAACATAATTGGGCCTGATGGTATTTCTGCTGCTTCCCATCGTCGTAATGGATCATCAATGATTATTGTACCAAATACTGTCACAGCCTGTAACCCTGCATGTGAATGATACATATGTGTACCAGCTGGATTTGCACGAAAAGCATGTGTAAATGTTCGTCCATTGGGAATTGGCATTTGTGTAACAAATCCGACGCCATCCATTTGCGGGGTTTGCTGCTGAAGAATCCCATGAAAATGAATAGTAACTTCTTCCATTGTGTGAAGAGCATTATGAACATGAACAATTATGGTATCGTTAAGATTAGCTCTAATTGTTGGCCCTGGAAATTGATTATTAATCAATAAAACAGACGTTGAATTGCCAGCATAGGCGACTGTAAAATTATACTCATGCAAGTTCATGAATCCATTCACGACTTCAAACAAAGTTACTAATATTAGAAGAAAAAAGATAATAGAACAACGCATTGCTGTAATATATTATGTTATTAAATATCGACGCTAGTGTTCTTTGTTTCATATACGAATACTATAAATGACTTCATTTTCTACACGAAAATAATCTAAAACTAACTGAGATATACGTCGCATCATAAGGAAGAAGGCAAAATTTTATCATATTGACGTCGTGTAACTTTGTCGTGCATGTGTCTATTTAAGAGCCAACTAAGTACAGACACTCACATTTTGTGTTTATTGTTGCCCGCCTATGAAATTTTTATTTTCTGGAGTAGAATGAAACTAAAAACATTCTTGCTTCAGATAGATTCTCATTTTATATACGTATGATCAATAGTTTGCAATAATTTTAGTCTATGGTTTCATCGTATTTTAACTGTCAACTATAAATTCTTGTACAAATTATTATGGTGTATTGCAATTACGAATTTTATGTTTCAAAGTTTGGGCACATCACAAGATGAAAATTCTATTTTTCGACAAAAACGAAAAATTTGTTTCTCAGATGAATTAACCATCTGTGTCAGATAAAACATGATAAGAGTAGAATTTTTCAGATAATATGAACGGATTATTTTTGAAAAAAACCATATCAAAAGATACATAAGTTATATCTACTCTGAATCTGCAATTTACTGTTTGAAGTACAGTCACATATCATGAATAAAATATTAATTGTTATTTTTATAGCTTCTATGAAAATTTAAGCAAACATTTTATTTTAATCATGTCAAAATTCAATACTTATTCACTTCATTTCTTGATAGAAATTGTGGTCAATTCTTATATGAGACTTGGAATATTGGTATTGTTTAGTCAAATATGTTTTGATGAAAAGGAAAGAAACTATTGTGCATATATACCATAACTAGAGTAATTCTTTCAACAGTATACAATCGATCGAAAATTGTAGGCTACAATTTGTAGTCGGTCTATAGGTTTGATTGGGACTGAACTGTGGCGTAGTCAAGCTGTAACTACTATTTTCTTGGGCTTTTTCGTAATTACAAGTCACAGTGCAATGACAGTTACTAAACGAGAAGGCAACATAGCCATGATTTTTAGCGTATGAATTGTTTTAATGAAAAGATCCACATTCACACACCTGAAAAAAGTTACATACGCATGAGAGAATGAGGCCGTGTGGCTTTTGGATCGTCCTGTGGAACTCTCTGGTCAGAACAGTATTGAACTTATTTTATAGCAGATTCTTTTGCGAATGATTGAATTTCGTTTATCTTTCTTCATAACTTAACTTTGGTAAGATCTAGTCTTATCCATGAATAATTATACATAAATCATGTCCCTATAGATTTGAAAAGTTAGCGTCGAAGAATTATGCATTAGTTGATCATATTTCTAGAACGATTTGTTCAGTCAAGACCTGCTCAATAAAAAAATGAAGCAGATACAAATAAAGCACTTTACGAAACATGAAAATGTTTTGCAAAAGGAAATGAATTGATCAGCATAGAAGAGTAAATCATTGGTGAAGCACATATCCATTGTTTCCTTGTTTAAATGTGTTGATAAACAGAGATGACCATAAGTGTTTACGTAGGTATTCATGATATTTATATTCAATGTAATTTCCACTGAACGTTGAATCGATTATTAGCGTGTTCAAAGCAGATGTGATCATTTTCTGGATCTGCTCGATCAACTTTCGATTGTTATAAAGCTATGGAATTTGTGCTAAAAATAAATTTTCTTTATAGAGATTCTTTCTCACACTGATCGTGTTATTATACGTTTAAAATATTTCCTTAGCTCAACAAATAAATTTGAAAATAAAATTACTAATGACGGGAGATCACTCATCTGTGAGAGTTCTCAAAATGAACGAATGCTGTAGCGTCTCAACCTATGATGCAAAACTACCTGCATATCATCATAGAAGTCTGATAGAAACTTACAGTGTTACAAAATGATAGTATGAATCATCTGTCTGCTATTTAGTTTTGGTTGATCGTTTTAAAATCCTTTTCATTTTGGTTTATTTGAGATACCTCTTCATTGTTTGACCCTAGTCTATCAATCTTTTATCAGAGATTTTTTCTTTTTGGTTAGAAGGCATTGTGTTGATAAAAAGTTCTACGAGTTAAATCTGTTTTGTTTTTTTACTCGATCCAGGTCGAACAGACACGATCGTTTACGGCCGTATACAGAGAAATTCGGCGAAATACATATCTCAGTATTACGATCGTATATCTCCGTGTCGTATACGATGAAATATGACCGTATATGGGCGCAGTAAACCTCGACTTGGGAAGTAGACAATAATGCTGTTCTTAGGATCCTAAGAAGTTAGCCTGAAAGCAATGAAGTTTTCGATATCTTCTTTCATAAAACAGATAACTCGACTAAATGTACACCTATCCACTGGCAGTGAATGAGTCAAAATGTTGATGATGCTATCACCGGCCATATTTCCAATTCCGTACAATCATTCGTAATATTATTAGCATATATATTTTTTAATAACATAATTAAGAGAATGGTTCTAGTTGTTTTTGCGAATTTATTGTTAATCATCAATATTATATCTTGATACACATGTCTCTTGTTTCTAGTAATAATTGAACTAGAAGCACTCGTGAGATAAGATTAATGAATATCAATTAACCTGATTCATTTGAAACTAATACAAACAAAAACAAACTCTTTTTCTAATTTTAGAATATATACATATATAATTACTCCGAAAGAAGTTAATGGTCTTTAAGACGAACTTCAACTCAGCAACAAAGAATGGGGAAAATAATTTGAAGATCAATGAAAAAAACTTACGTTATTTGAAGAAAAAGTCTCAATTGTGCGAGGTAGACAAACTGATCATAAAAGAAAATTTCAAATTAATTATCGTTTTGAACAAGCACATGATGGAAAAAAGCACGCTTCAATAAATATCGATGGATGTTAGTTTTATAGTTTTTTCTTAAGGAACAATTTTTATTTTGGCTATAAAATACTTTCATATGTTCATGGATTTTCCTTCTGAGTTCATTATTTGAAAGTGATTTTGATGTACACGTAAAAAGTTATTTGTACTTCTCTTTATAAATGTGAATTATACTTAAATAAAAATAAAATAAATTAAAAGATTAGATGTTGATGACGGTAGGTAATCTTTCGCATACGTTTATGATTTTTGTAAATTGCCATTCTTTTTTGTATTCAATTTTCGAAAAACTGTCCTCAACATATTAATCGATCTGTTGTTTGTTGTTTAAAGTCCGTTGGATCCAAGATTTCTACATGTGAAATCGAACGCAGACCGGGTAAAAACAATAATCCGGTTCGGATATTCTATCGAAACGCTGTTTTATACTATTAGTTAAGTAATCTAATAGGAATTCGATAGTCGATTCGAAGATAAAGACCGCTTATTCTCCAATTTCGTTCTGGAGGATGAACTCCAACACATATTTGCTAGATCATCTTCATTGCTAGAGTCGATCAAATCCAAGACTTCTGAACCCGAAACCCGATCGAGAGTCCGAAAAAAATGATTTTAAGACCCAAAGTCGAAGCTGAACCCGACGAGCCCTAGTGTTGTTATTTAATCACTCTGAAAAGTAATGATCAGCACGGATTTCAGATTCTTACCTTTACTGTACAGTCATATATTTGTTCTATAATTAGAGTAGAACTGGTTTAAGATGGATATTTAGTTAAAATAACAGGTACTAATGACTACACTTGCAATTCATACCCATCTCAAATAATTTTAATAAACGTTCTTAATAACTGTCAGTCTTCATTAGTATTGACCGCTATTTTTTTCACTTTGTCTTACATCAAAGGAAAAACAATTCATTTTGAGTCTGTGTCATCGCTTTGAAGAAGAAAATAACTTTTATTCAAGTGATAGTATTGTCAATCAGGATATATACGCTTACCGGAGCTGCATGTGACCATCAGATATTGAGGTATGTACAGATTTCCGAAAAAGGAAACAACAGAAATTTCCATAATTTCCTTTTTTTGCAAATCTGAACACGGCTGAATAATTATCAGCTTTTATTCTAAAAACAGCATAATTTCTGTACGTGTAAGTTCAATTCAGGGCTGCCAACCGACCCCAAAAAGTGGGGTACATTTTGCTGACGTAATATTCGAACACTCTAAGACATTCGAATGGATGTGTGACAAACTGTACCTCAATTTTTGTGGTCGGTTGGCAACCCTGGTCCAGTGACATTACATTCAGAATATTCAACGTAAATATTATTTTTGCAATGACCATTTTATTCAATATACATATGCAATTTTTAATAGCAAGTATTCAGTTTCCTCATTAAGGAATGGACGGATTTGTATGATGCTTCTAACGTAGCTTACTATCAGTACGTCTCTTTTATTTATGTAAGTTATATTTGAAATCATTGATTATTATCTAAAGAAAAATAATAAAAATACAGAAAAGGTAACTTAAATCAGTTCGCTCAAAACTAAACTTTTATCTATTGCCATATCGCTTGAAACTCATATTGACCTGAACCAATATACACTGTCATAAAACCTGTTATTGAATCTTTTTCAATATCAAATCCTTCAACATATCGGTTGCCGATGTCCGATGACCATATAATATTATGGCCTTCAATTAATGTTTTACATCGTCCACCGATTAGTAATGGCTCCAATATTATACGAGCTTGTGTATTTGTTGGTACAGTAATATGAAGCAAAATTGAATTAGAAATCGTATCATGCTCATCACGCGTATAGGAAATATGAATCAGACCGTATAATGTACTCAATTGGCAATCTAATTTTGATAAAAGATATTTTTTAGCTTCGGAAGCCATTCGAGGTCGAATAGTGATCATATTGGATGAAACATCAATCCCTGCTAGATGTGAATAAAACCAAGCACCAACACTACCATACATAATATGATTACGAGAATTCATGCCAGGTCCTGCAAGTGGTGCATTCCAAAGTTCCCATATAGTAGTAGCATTTTCATAAGGATTTGTAAACATATAGCCGTATGAAGGATATGTTGTTGATGATATCAATTCAAGTGCCAAATCGTGATGTCCATTATCAGAAAGCACCGGATACAGTTGAGCTGTAGATACGATACCTGTTGTAAGATGTATGTTATTTTGCTTTATATCATTAACAAGTTGATTGACGACTGCTTCTCGAACATTGGCTGGTACAACTTCAGGTAATGCCAATGCGAGAACTTGCGCTGCTTGCATTCCATCTGCATAAAAACTTTTTGAAGTCGAAAAAAATACACGATGAAATTCCTCAGCAAGTTGTTGATACAATACTAAATAAGTATTTGTATCGCTCTGCTTCCCAAGTACCTGAGACATGTTGATCAAAAGATAAACATCATGAAGAAAAGCAAACGATGCAATTAAATGTTTATTTGTCATAGGTTGTGGTGGTGGTGGAACCCAATCGCCATATATAACAGTAAAATTAGCAAGACCTGTTAAATTGTAAACACCACAAAGATATTCGACATAAGCAACTACATGATCATAATACGCCTCTAGTGTATGCATGTCATTATAGTGTCGATAGACTTGCCAAGTTATTGTTGGCAATGCAGTACCCCAGTTTGGATCCGCTGGATAACTGTTCCCTGGTACATAATTAGGTACTTCACCGTCATCTAGTTGAACATCAACAATTAAATTCAGAAAGTTCTGATAGAATTTGATCAGATCAAAATTATACAATGCTTCATCAACAGACAATGCTGCATCGCCCATCCATCCTCGACGTTCATTACGTTGTGGACTAAAGATCAAATGGAGAGAAAATCTATGTGAATACAAATATATTTAATGTAACAAACCAATCTGTTGGCAAAGACATTATGTTACTCAATTGACCCCATTGGATATTATGTTGAATTTGATTAATGATAGGATTACTCGTGGAAAAATGACCTTTCACTGTTGTTTCGCTATGTACAAATGGACATTCAACATCATCTAGCGTCAACGCATTCGGTGCACCAAATATAGACAGATAACGAAAGCCATGAACAGTAAATCTAAAAATAATTTAAAAAAAATTAATTAAAAAGAATGACAGAGCAACGATTAAAACAAAAACGAAATCGTACGTTGGTTCATATATTTCATTAATAAGATCACCACGTAACACATATGTATCAGATGCTGTGGCATCACGAAGATTTTCCGTATAGATGTTACGAGCAGAATGACTAAAAACATGTATATATATATATTTTATATTAAATTAAGTTTTCAACATTTTACTTGGTCGATACAACTGGTTGAGTGAGTATTTCACCATGACGGATGTAAACACCAAAACCAGATGGGCCATGAAATCGTATACGACACCATCCTACCATATTTTGACCCAAATCAAATGTTCGAATACCTGTGTGACGATTAAAAGATATAGAAAACAATTCATTTCATCTCTAAAACAGAAAACATACCTGAATCGGATTGCCACATGGCCACAGGTTTTAGTATTCCACCATCAGTTAATGATGCACCTTTGATTTTACCAATATCTTCAGAATTCAAATAACTTTGATGTTGACTGTCTATTTCAACTTCAAGATGTAATGCGTCAGATCCCGCTCGAATTGGTGGCATGTCCTGAAGAACAATCAAACCATTCCGTGAAATATTAATTGGTGATGGCATTGATTCAGGCATGATCCAAGCTGACAATGAATCATTAAATCCTGCTCGAGACCAATTAGAACGATCATTTCGACTATCACACATCTCTCCATTGTACACACTATCATGTTTGATAGAACCTTCTCGACCAGTCCATGTTTGATCGCTAAAAATTTGCATTTCATCACCATTTTCAAATAGAATAAATAATATGAAAATAAGACGTGGTGGACCTAAAATTTTCTATGATAAAATATTCTTGTAAAAAATATTCACATCTACCATAGCCAAATTCACCATGCTGTTCTTGACTGTACCAACCGTTGCCTAATTTTACTCCGACGGCATTCATGCCAGTCTAAATACATGTACTATGTAGATGAATGTTTAAAAGAAATGGAAAAAACAATAAATTCTAACCGTGACATTCGTTGATACATCGAATGAAACTAGTAGAGTACGCTTTTCATACGTTGTCCAACCTGGATCCAATTTTCGACTTGAATCTACTTTAAAACCATTAAGATAAAATTCATAATAGCCAAGACCAGAAATATAGGCGATTGCTGATTTCAAGGGACTATCACTTGGAACCAAGAATTCTTTTCTCAATTCATTCATATTAATCTTTGTCGAGCCAATCCAAAGAAGATTATCATTTCGAATGATATATTCATGTAAATTGAATATAGGTGTTCGAAATCGAATCCAATTAGTCCATTCGCTGGATTCCTCTAATTTGGTTATCCAAACTCGTACACGAAAACGATAATATTTTGATGATAAAAGATCACTTTGGCCTGTATATGATACATGGGTCGATTGTGATGAATTCACACGTTCACTGTCCCACTCAAATCGATTATCTCGCTCAGTTATTGGTATTGATTGAAGTTGTAATTGATAAGCTACTTGTTGAACATTTCGATATAATAAGTTGTTCAAACCAGAGATTTTCCAAGAAAATCGAGGTCGTGCTGTATTTATAACTAAATCATCAGTGATATCCACTTTATGATGATCTATACGTACATCGAACGGAGATGCCCAACGAGCATCTATCGTTGACCAAAGAAAAAATAGATACATATAACGGTAATAATGTGAAAAATGCATCGATTTGGTTGTGTTTTTGAAAGCAAAACGGTACGATTATGATAGTTTCTCAGTTCTTTAAACTCGGCTCTTTATATATTTACAATTCTTTTATCGCTATTCATTTTGTTTGCTCGTTCTTTATCATAATTTGTAGCGTTGAAGCGAAGAAAAGATAACAATAACTATCAGCCTTTAAGAGAGGGAAAAGGAGATAATTATTTTATTTTTAACTTTGAAGCTTTGCAATAGTTCGTTAAGTTACAAAAGATGTTTAATGATGCGATTCAATCAAAAACGAATACCAACTATATCGGTTCTTTAATAATATAAATTATTCTAATCGAATCAATTCTAGATATAGGCAAGAAACGTAATAGTGATTAATTAAAGCAACCAATAGCTGTGTTTCATTTTTTGTTCAAATTTCCAATAAAGACCATATGGTTAATGTATAGCTACCGAGAGTTTCTTAAGTGAAACACTATTCTTTATAAATCTTCTTGTTTTATTAGGCATTCATTGTTTTTATGTGAACATAGTGTCAATATAGTTGTTAGTTAGAGTTTGGTAAACATAATAAAACACGAATATACTATGTGAAGTATCTTTTGGGATACTTTTCGCTAAGAGCTTACGAAATTAAGTAGAGCCAAGCTCTGTTAATATTGAATGTTTCTTTCCTTTTCATTTTACCATTCCAGATATTCATATGATATAAATCTGTAAGATGATTTTTGATCATCTGAATTCAATGTAGACGCAGAATATGTAAGATAATAATTCATGTAAATTTGTTTGGCCTACTTTTCTATTGTTTCAAAATACTTTCATGCTCTGCACATATTGTTGTACTATAAAATTACTCTGAAATAGTTCTTAAATATTTCGACATTAGTGATATTCTATTTGAGCAGTAAAGTACTCTGATAAATGTAGAATTCCATTAATAAAGCGCGAGTCTCATTAACATTTGTGGGAATATCTTTTTATTCAAATTCAAGACAAGCAAATGTCAACAAAATCAAACTTAAATTAAATGAATTTTGAATAATAATAAAATTCAAGAGTATGAGATATCATTTTAAACGATATCAATGTACAGTAGAAATACTATTTCGTCTCCTATTTATTCTGTTGTCAAATTGTAAATCGTATCTCGAACATTTTAATTTAATGTAGGTTTACTATAGTACGTTATTGGCGATAGAATAAAAGCAATTGATGTTACTTGAATTTGTTGATTCAATAATGCAAAAAATTACCAAAAATAACATGGTTTTATTTCATGTTCTGAATATATATATATATAAAAAGAAAATTCTTGAACTTCTGTTTCATTTTTGTCTACTTTAACGGTAACTGAATTAACAATATTTCCTCCGTAAAACATGAATTCACCTAGAAACTGTATTAAAGAAGGCTATTATAATTCTCTATGTACCATTTAAACATTTGTTTTTCCACATGAATGCGGAATAGTATAAACTTCGAAATCATAGTAATTGTACACAACAGAATCAAGTGAATAGGGTATTGAATTATTTAGCTACTTAATGATTGAACAAGAAGATTCCAATTATGTAAATTTCATTTATTTTAGAGTATTTAGAATATTATTCGTATGAAGACCATATTTAGAAAAAAAGAAAGGAATCGTTAAGTTTCATACCATTCGTCCAGTTGTTCTCGGGTAATTAATATATAAAAGCAGGACGTTGTAAATCAATTTGGATCAAATTTTGCTACTCATAGGTTATTATTGGTAGTAACCGTCAAAAGCTCGAACTGGATATTAGTTTTGATCAATGACATGGAGAGCCATGAAAAACAAAAATTCATTCTTGCAACGCTAAATTATTATTTTTGTTGCCAGAAATAATAATATCAATAATATTTAAAAAAATAGTTGGACGGCGAAAAATATCGAAAGAAATGAATGCATCGAAAGTAGATACAAAAAAAGCAAGGCAATCTCGTCCGTATTCATTCGGATTTCATCTTTCTCACTATTATTTGAATTCTGATCAACAAGTTATCAATGAAGAATAAGTTAACTTACAAATGGTTTGTTTTATTTGACTTTATTTAACGAACTTCTCAGCAAGTATTGAATTGAACATATAACTTATTCAATTCAAATATCTTACGTTTCTGTCATCATTATTAGCTCTGATATCTCGCTTTAGCTTTATTATTCAAGTGAACATAATAACAAGTCTGAATATAGAAACACTTAATCTTCTAAAAAGTTATGCGATCGAATGACATGCCAGTGAATTGCTCTGAATAAATTCAGTTGTATATTTTTGAATAGGGTTTGTATAGGTTCACGTAAACAAGATAAAATGCAACATCAGAAAATATGAAACTGATCATAATGAATGATTAAAATTTCATCTAGACCATTAATAGATACTAAGATAGAGTTGATCCAAATGATTTATTCAGCTTACAGTTCAGAATAGCTCTTTTGTTTTCCATAAAAATTAGGTTGCATCGAAAAATCTATTTTACAAACTTTTTATTCTATTTATAGTTATTTATTCATTACATTACTTACTGAACTTTGCTTTATTTTTTCTATCTGTTTCGTTATCTTTCGTATGATTAGCTACTCGTCTTTTCTTTTTCTATTCAACTTTCATCAGTTTACTGAATAAATCGATTCGTCGTCACGTCTCTCTCCTAAAATATTCCACAAAATGTTATAAAGAACAGATACAATTACTAAACAACTAATGAACTAAAGAACTCACTGATTGGTATTCATATTCACTAAAATAATATATTAAAAGTGATTTGTAAAAAAAGAATAGTTTACTTGATGCAAGAATTTTTTTACAAACAACGGGAGACTATCAAAATTGTTTGTAGTATTTATTAGTCATCTGTTAGGATAAAAAAAATACCGTGCTATATGTGGCTAATATTATTAGTACGGACTATTGATTTTTCAACTGTCGTTTCGAACAGTGCTGTCTTTGTTTTTTCATTTGTCAACTTCTCTAGTAACTATTTTAATGGATGCTATTCAACAATCAAGCAAAAAACAGAAAAAAATAATAGAGAAAAGCTATTTTTTTTGAATTAATACGCATTGGCTCGAACAAATCGGCCATAAATAATGTAAGTGTTTTCTTTCTTGTTGAGAAATTTTGGTAAAGAAACGACTTTAACTTTACTTCAACACGAACAAATATATATATTTGTACAAGAGCTAAAAATATCAAACAAAAGAAATGATTTCCGAATATTTTTTTTCATAAGTTAGCTTTTATTATGGAAAAAATTTAAGGAAAAGAAGAAATCAGCTGATGAGAAACATTTTTATTTTGTTTGCGCAGTATTTTTCCTGAAATTAAACTGGTATAAAATTGTACCTTACAAAAGTTGTTGCTTCCAACTTTCAAGGAATTTATGTCGCTATTTATTTTATTCATTAACCTTATCTACAACAATCTATTGTTTTAAAGTGTTTAGTAAAAGAATGATCTCAGCTCAATTAATTTATTTAATCATAGTCACTTAGAATGGGACTTTCGGTTTGCATGATCTGAAAGTAAGATTCTCGGTATGTATTGTGCTTTTATAATCGATTTTTTTAAGAAAGCTTTAGAGCTTTTCTGAAACGTATATTATACATAATTTTATTGAGAGAGATAGAGCGAGAATTGATTCGAAAGAGTTATATTGTAAATAATATTGTTTGGGAAAATGATCGGTTATTGTAGTCGACGAAAAAGAACTTCCCAACCGGTTATTGATTTATTCCAAGAATGATTAGTTAAAAACTTTACTAAAAAATTATCATAATATCTATCGAAGCGTAAATAATAGATCATGAATAACTTAGAATGAAGATTAGAAATTGACTTTCTTTGAAAACGTATCTAGGATGTTTCTTTTGAAAACAAAAGACTTTCTTTCAATGTACAACTATGTATTTGATTTTTAAATATAAAAAAACTTATTCAAAATCTATTCCAGTGTAAATATCTTAGTAATCTTTTACTTTAGACACAACATTGATCCGCATACTCTGCTGTAGATGTGTGTAAATTGTAGAAATAAGTGGAGTCACCCCACTTTTAGTAAAACTATATGGCTTGTCCAATGAAAAAGTAATATGACATTCTTCAATTTGATGGAATAAAAATTATATGTGTTTAAAACTGATTTCTGTTGTTTCTATTGCAATTATGAATCAAGTTACTTATTTCGACACATACAACATAAACATACAATACTCTTTCGTCGGTGAAAAAATATTTATCTGCAATGCTGGATTCGTTTTCTGTTCTTAATACGCAAGTGAAAATTAAAGTTGATGTTCGCTCTCATTATGTTTTTCTTCTGTGTATCAAGAGTAAAAAAACCTCATGCAATGTTATTCTATTGTATAGCTGTCCTTCTTAAAATTTTCTCTTTTTCGGATGTAAAAAAAAATTCTCGACTTCTCTCTCTCTCTCTCTCTCTCATGAGCGCTTTAAAAATGAGGGAGTAGAAGGCCGGTAAGAAAGGAAAAGAAAAGAAAAATGAGAATAAATATATGTAATGTAAAAACAAGAATTCTTCTACAGTATTTTTTCTCCAAAACATCAAGGTTAGGTTAGGGGTGATTGCTTTCAACGTTCATTCTCAGTGAAATATGGTGTCTCCAGATAAAGAAGCGTTTGTGAAAGTATGGCCAAGATGTTTCCTAGTATTTCTTGGCGTTGTCGAAGTTATAGCTGCTATTGTTCTAATAGTTACTGAATTCGGTAATGTTGCATCCAACTTTTGGACAACTAATGTATTTGCTGGTGGTTGGTGTGGTATTATAATGATTGCACACTTCTTTGGGCTATTTGTTGCCGGTAAGATCTTTCTTTAGCAATAAATATGAACTAATTAAATGAAACTTTTACAGCATGTTGTTCACCAAGTCCACCAGCTGCTTTTCGGGCAGTTGTAATAACCATAATAGCTCTCGTAGCTTGCGGCGTATTGATTGGATTTGATGCTTACTTTATCGCTACACCATCAGCATGTTTATTAACATCGTCATGCTCTACGAATGCTGTATCAACATCCTCGTTTAGTTATTATTTTCGACAAAGCTTCTTTTTAGCATTTAATAGCCTCAGTGCTTTTAGCAGTTATACAGAGTCGCAAGCAAAATTTCTCTTTCGAACAATTCAATTAAGCGTTGGTGCTTTGTGCTTCGTACTTTGTATTGTATATTTAGTTATCTATTATGTATCACGGGGCAAGGCTTCAGACAAAGTGTCGCCTAGCACAAATCAACCAACTCCTTATGCACCTCCACCAGGAGCCCGTTCTCAACAGCCGCAATATGGACCGCGCGCACCGCAACCAGCTCCAAATCAAGCTACAAGGAATCAAAGCAAAAGATACTAGAACTATACTTAACATTTTTAAAAAAAGACATCTTGAGTTCTCGTACTATTTCTATTTTTTATGCAACAAAAAGTTGAAATTATTCACTGCTTATAACAATATTACTTCACTAATACATGCACAAAGTTATATTTGAATCATTTCTTTCTTGTTCTCTCGTTCTCTTCTCACATTTTTTTTGTCATCAAAGTACAGAAATACAATGCAAACAAAAATCGATGAAAAAAATTCATTTACGTCATTTAATCATACCAAATAATAACATCAGACAGAATCTATGCAGCTTGTGATGGCAATTTCTTTTTCGTTTGGCACAACAACAACATTGATATTTTTCAATTCTTTTGTGTGAATGCGTGTGAGAAAGAAGTCAGTCGGTCGGAAGAAGCCCGAAATATTAAAATTATAAACATTGAATTGATTGAATTCAATCAAAAATAAATAATTGCCCATTCGTTGTCATAGTTTAAATCAGGCCTATTCTATATAAGAGAATCAAAGAGAAAGTACAGATGAAAAAATATATTAAAATTCACAGGAAATAAAGAATTAACTCGGGCAGAATTCGTTAAGCTTGACAATAGTCATAGAATATGAACATTTCAAATCTATATCTATCTGTTGATTTGATTTATTTCTTGATGTTTTACTATTGTTTTATCAAGTGTGATGGCCTCCATGATGTTTATTCAAAATACAATAATAATTTCATCAAAAATATATATCAGTGATAGGATTGTACAAGTATGAATATGTTTAGTTGTTGAAAAAAGAATCTTTGACATAAAATAAACTCCGTATAATCTTATTGAGGTTTGTGTTCGGGAAAAACTGATCTGAATGATTAAGATTCATTTTCATATAGATTCATTTTTCAAAAAGATATATTCGAGAACGACCATGCATAATTGAACACAGAATTTTTCAAGAGAACAAGTCGCGTTTCATATTTTAAAACTTATATTAAGCAGAATCTATCTATATAGAAAGAAACGCCATGATATTATTTTTCAAATTTCAAGTAATATGAATTGATCTAATGGATAATCATGTTGAATAGCATTAATTTAAAATATTTAAAATTATGTATTTTCATTGTAAAGTTGAGTTCGTTTTCTTTTCTTTTCTTTTACGTTTAAACTAAATGAAAAACATTATTTATTTCAATGAAAAATAGGATAATTCGATTCATTTTTAAAAGTAATAGAATATTTTATTTAGTTTTCGATGATAACCTCTTGATTTTAGTCACACCATTATACTTGGATTTTGTTCGGTTCTTATCATTTTTTCGTTTTGCTGATATTGACGATCGAATTCGATTGATTTTTAACTTCCGTTTTATATTTGAATGTTGAATTCGTTTATTAGTATTTGTAATTCTATCCTTATTTTTCATAGTTAGTCTCAACGAAGTTTTTCGACTATTATTGCGTGCTGAATTATTTTTCTTATTTCTTGATTGTAACCGATTATGATTTTTTCGATAAATTTTATTAGATTTTGTTGAATTTTCAATAGTACTATTAAATGATGCTGTTCTATTGAATAATTGTGTAGTACCATCAAGTGTTTTTAATAAACGCTGAACTTTGGCAACAGAAATGCCACCACAATCATTGCATAGAATATCTTTTTTTTTAGTAAGAAGAAGATCCTTAGTTGATGACGAAATCGAAGAAGCTATTTCTTGTTTTTGTTGATAATCATTATTAAGTGACATGAACAGAAAGTATGACAAAGTAAAAGAAGAAATAGAACCAATGAGTTTACGCGCCACTCTTTAAATATTTTCTATTTCAATACTTAGATTTCAAATCTTCTGAAAAAGCAAGATTTTATTTTAAATTTTATCGTTATCCATGTCGGTAGTGTTTTCTTCTTTGTTTTTCAAAGTGTATATTTGTATTTATAAGTTATTTAGTATGCGTACATTTGATTTTATCGTATCTCATTGGTCTCACTAATATTCAGTAAATAAATTGAATTTCTATTTGATAATTATTGATTTAACTAATAATATATATACGTATATATGAAAGTTCACCTACCGACATCAGTATTATAAGTAGTATTTTTGATGACTTTTACATTGCAAATTTAGTTCATTTTGGCGTTCTCAAATCAGTTGTGTAAAAGAAGGAGAAGAAGATCATATGCTCAATAGAATCCAATCATTCCAAATATATATGGAAATTTGAACTGAGAAGTACTTTCACTGATGACTGAGTAATTACTCAAATGTTGACTGATCTTAAAGTTAAAGCTAGTATAATCAATATGAGACTCTACTAACGATTATACTTGTGCGAAAATGAAACTATATCTCGCATGTTCGAATGAAAAGAAATCTTGAGTATAGTCGAAAATTTGATCCAATAATACTAAACTAGAATCTAGATCCATCAATATACTACAACCTTGGAACGGTTTCAATATAAACAATAATGACTGATTTCAATTAAAAGGAAAATGAAGGCAAATTCTTCATATCTCAATGAAATAAGAGAACGTTTCATAATCAATAATTTAACTTGAAATATTTTCTATGTTAATATAACTAAAATACAGAAATCTGATTACTATTGAAATATATGATACTTCTCTAATGAAACTAAACATAGAGTTAGTTAACATTCTTATTTTATTGATGCATTCTCTTTTGTGCGTTTTTTTTTGTATCTAATCAGCAAATTGGTTTTTGTTTCAAAAAAACGAGTAAACACGAGTGATGCTGAAATATACAACAGAAAATTATACTAAACTTCATATGATATATTTGATAGAATCTATACCATATTATCGATCATTACTGCACTTAATAGAAATCAAATTGAGAATCGCTTGTTTTATTCTCTCGTTTACTACCGGGAACCGGAATGGAAACCGTAATTTCTTTTTCATTTCCTATTACCACCGGCGTATAAGGTCGAAATATTCGATGTTCATAATTGAAATACTTTTAAATAGCATTGGTATTAAGCTTACTAACAAAATTCTGTAACAAAAAAATAAAAATTTAAGAATCGAATCATCGCATATGAAAACTAAGATTTACTAGCAATAAATGATTTTCAGATTTGAAATTTCAATAGAATGAAATTTGAAATTAGGATTGTTTCCACAAACAAACAACGAGTCAATAATTTAGTCGAACTTGTGAATACTTGCATATTAATACAAACGGATCGAAAATAGATGATCTTATACTAGCAAAATCTTTATCCAATGAAAAAACTGCTCTTCGTCTTTATTTTTGTAATATTTACAAATAAAACAACTAAACGAGTTTATTGATTGTTTTTGTATTTGAACATCGTAAGAATTGCACGATGATCACTTAAATTCCATTCACCCTGATCACTCCATGTTAAAGAATTACAACCACGTGGTATTAGTTCACTTGATACCGGTAGAAGAATATCTGATTTATAAAAAATAAAATCTACTCCTAATTGTTCATTTCTGTGTGTTAAATGTGTAACATTAGGTTCATTTCCATGTATAAATTTGTAAGATGATTGAAATTGTTTATCTATCAATTGATAAACATCATCCTTATGATATGATGAATTAAAATCTCCGCATAAAATAAGTGTACACTTATTTAAAAGATTTTTTGATATTTGATAATTGTGTATTAATTCAAGAAACTTTTTCATTTGTTTTAGCCTTAATCGGCTTTCAAATCTGTGATGTGGAAATGTTAAATGAATATTAATTAGAAGTAAATTTTTTCCATTAAATTCAAGATTAAGTAACAGTCCAATACGATCTCCAATATCATTTAATATCAATTCATATTTATCGAGAACCTTAAAATGATTCGAATCAACAAGAATAGCTAAGCCGTCATCAAGTAAACCTGTTCGTCGAAGTGTATAAAATGAATATTTTGATAATAAATTTGATTTATATAATTGAATAAATGATGGATTTTTAAACCAAAATTCTTGTAGACAAATAAGATGAATATCAAGCGATTGAAGAAGATTTATTATTGATAAGTGACGTTTTTGCCATAATGTATCATATGAACTTTCACGATCATATTCAGATGATAAACGTTTATAACACGGTGCTAGAACGTTGAATGTACACACTGATAATGTATCATTTTTATTATTGGTGAAATTGGAAAGCTTCCTTCTAGAATCATCGAAGAGATCATATTTATTTCAAAATTCATTCTCTATGAAAAATATTTAAATGAAACATTCACAAATTCATTCAACAAAATTCAACATACATTTTCAACAAAAAAATCAATGTACTATTTATTTACCTGGTATAAACAGAGGACATCGTCAATTGAAGTAGAACATAGCATGAAGAAGTATACAAAGAATTAAATACTTTTTTATTGGCCACGATGATCGCATGGATGCGCATCATCTACAAGCATGATTACGTCATGAATCAATTAATTGAAAAAATATTCTATTTATTAAAAAAAGGAGCTACGTTAAAAGGTAATTGGCCAAGAGAAATAAAAATTCATGATAATCGATTATGAAATGCACATGAGGACATCATTTGCGTAAACGGAAAAACTTTATATATATATATATACATGTATATACTCGCCGATAAATGACTTGTATTTTAAAATGTGAATCATAGAAACTTATCAGAGCTGAACTGAACTGGTTAGTTATAAGTAATGCAAATCATCTGATTCAACAAGCACACTAACTATTGACTCATTACGATCAAAGTATTCTCTCAGAACATTTTCTGCTTCATTGTCAGCAGATGTTTTGCAATATGCAAAAAATACAAAAAAAAGAAAAGTATTATGTCAAGGTTTAGAATAATTATGAATGATTAATTTCTCAATTCATTTAAACGCAGAAAATATGATTAAATTGAAAACATGATTAACGAAACTATTTAACTTCGATTTCGATTTCGAAGAAAGAAAGAATATATGAATAAAAATGAAATCTCATTGGTGCGCACGTATTAACCGATAGAATCATAAATAAAAATCTCTATCATACAATAGGTGTGATGTCGCAACGAAAATGAATAGCTACTACGTATACTACTAGCTTATGTTTGTCTGTGTGTGATCGGATCTGATGCTACAAAATATGACGACGAATAAGAATTGATGTTGAATACGCTGAATACTTCTCGGATTTATGTTTGTTTTTTTAGAAATATGAGTTTTGCATAAAATATAACGTCACGTAAAGTTTCATTAATGATTTAATAAGAATACAATATATTGTTAATTTCGGTTAATCAGCAGAATTTTATATTATGCATAATCTATAACAGTAAAATATCTCATACTCTATTAGAAACATGTTTTCGTATGATTTTCATTTTGAATGTATAAATGTATTTCGAGTTTAACAGAGATTTCATGATTTATGCATGTATCAGCAACGATTTTATTTGTTACTGGACCTAGAAATAAAAATAAAACAAAAAAACTGTGAGCGCAACAGCATGAAGTCGAATTTTTTCACTTTTTTACCGCCGTTTGGTTAGAGCTTAATGAGTTAGTTAGAAACTAATAAATTTTGACAAGTATCTCTAGTCCTTATCAATTGTTGTTCTCTGGATCCTTTAAAATTAATTTATTTTTACTTATTATGAAAAGATACATGAAAGATTTTCATACATCTTAGATTCTGGATTTATTAGGAAATCAAATTATCTTTAATAAATATCCTGAATATATTTATTTACAGTTATTTCTTTGAAAATTGAATATTGAAATTTTGGAACGATGTTAATCATTCCATTTTTAGTTGACACATTTTTGTAATCACCTCATCAAAATAGTCTTGTAAGTTGTATGAATAATGCCCATTATCGAACCGACATTTATCAGGAACTAAATTGAATAGATCGTGAGTCTAATAGTTGACAAGCCAACATTGCTTATCTTTAGCAGACACGGTTATAGAAAAAGGGGCCTATAAATATATGTTTTGAGTATATCGATTAAGAAAAAAAATGTTATTTTGCTTTACGAATAATAAATCTAAGCAAAATAATGATTTGTCGCACCGTTTGTTTAATAATAAACTCACACAATATTTCCAATGAATTTTATCAAGATTATTGATAACAGCTAGTAGTCGGAGTCTATCGGTGCGAAGAATAACTTTTTTTAAATTATAATCAACGTACCTCCTCAATGATAGAAACAAATTCATTGAGAATTTTTCAATCAATGGAAATTAATCAGATCAAGCTAAAGTGAAAAACACGAAGCCATTCGAGTGTGATTCTATATCTGATGTTAATCTCTGTACACAAACTCAATTTTGGATGCATTCTTTTCTCTTGAACCTTAATTATGACATGAAACATAAGTTTTGTTTTGACTTTTCTACTACTCAACATATGAAGAGAACAAGCATGACTTTTTAATACGAAAAACCATTTGACAATTTAGTACTGGTACAAATGAGTCACTGAAGAGGAACGATAGCTCCATGGATGATTATCTATCTGATTCTACGCATTATTCAAATAGTTGAAGATATATTTACTATGATTTTAATCTTTATACAACCAATCGAAGTAGTAAACTGATCTATCCCAATTATTTATTGGAAAAACAATCGATACTACTGATAATCATCAGTATCCTGTCATAAAATCATCCCTTACTAATTAAAAATATAATATTATTTCTTTCAAAAAATACAGTTCATTACGATCATAATCTATGCGTTTGATAATTTTATAGAACTTGAACAAATTCTTCTATCGTCTATTACACACAGAACAGGAAATAACCAGGCGAAATAAAAAATTACGCCCAACGTGGGGGTCGAACCCACGACATTGAGATTAAGAGTCTCACGCTCTACCGACTGAGCTAGCCGGGCTTGTTAATTTCCACAGAAATTTTCTATCGACTCCTAAAAGTATAGTTGCTAAAATTTGTCAATTGTCAGAATTCAATCTTCATGATACATACAATATAAATATTTTGAGTAGTACATAAAATCTAACAGCTGATACATTATTAACTACAATAGATTTTATGCGAAACTTTTCTACTTATATTCAATTTTACAGAGTCTCAATAGCATAATATCATGTATTTCTTGGAAAACAATTACAAAACGAACATATCGTCTTGCTTTAGAACAACTAATTTGAAACCTAACGTCTAATTGACTAGAAATATTAATATAATCAATTGTGATTGCGCAGAATCAGTACAGGCTGTGATACTTAAGAAATGTTGAGCTTGTAAATTAAATTAGGTAATATTCACAATTAAGATAACATCTTCTACTATATTAATCAATGTATAATGAAGATCGACGAATCGTTAATGATTAACTGATTATAGGGGAAACTTATTTGAAAAAATAAGACACTTTGATGCATGATAAGCATGAAACTTGTGATACACAAATAGATTAAAACATAAAGATTATTTTCACACTTCAAACTCATGTTTGATTTCTTTAAAACAAAAGAATAGTTAAACAATAACAATAATGATACACAGACAGGTATAAGCATCACACAGATAACTATTTATTTGATAATGTCTATACATGAATTCATGAACTGACAGTAAATGTGAGACTCTCACTAGACGAATCCAATCCAGTTAGTTTCGTTACTTTGTTTCAGAAAGATAAAAATCTCTGAGAGACATCATTTACTATTATGATTATTATTATTATTATCATTATGGTCTTTCATGTTCTTCAACTTTAGAGAATGAAAAATGAAAAGAAACAACCATTTTGCATAGCTATTGATAAAGAAAAGAAAACGGTTACTCAAGATGAAAATGTTTTCTATTTCATATCATAGTCGTTAGATTCATGGCCATTGATATTTATTGTGTATTATTTTTGACTATTTTCATTATCACTATTAAATGTGATTCTGATGTAAATGTGGCATTAAATAATGACAATCAACATCTACACGAGTCTTCATCATATAAATATAGTAAACAAGGCAATTTACAACAATTTATCATTATGAATATTTTCAGTTCATTTAATAATATATTTTTAATGATAATATCGATAACTCTAATTCCTATTATCATAATATTCTTTCTAATTTCGATAACAACGCGTCGACTGCATCAATCATTATTAACAATTTATCTTAGTTTTGCATCAGGTGGCTTAATGGCAGATGTTTTTCTTCGACTTCTACCGTCCATTATTCTTGCATATAATGATTCATTTGACACTAAAAGTCAATCTGAGGTTTATCATCAACATGATAATCGTGCTGGTTTATTTATACTTGCAGGAATTTTTCTTTCATTTATTATTGAAAAGGTTTTTCAATATCTCCAAAGTATGTTAAATATTGAATCATCTTTGTAAGAAAAGCAAGTTCATTTGACTTTAAGGTTACAATCATGAAATATATAATGAATCTTCAACAATGAATTCAACTGAAATTTTAGCTTATCTATTTTTATTGGCAGATATTTTGCATAATTATACAAATAGTGTGACTCTTTGTTCAATCATTTCAATGAAATCAACAATCAGTAAGATATTCTATGACGAAACAAAATCAGTGTTTGTTTGCTATTTAAGATTCAGGAATGCTAATAACGAAAATTATTTATGAACTTTTGCATGTATTCTATGGTTATAATATTTTGATTTATAGTGGGAAAACTTTAGAGAAAGTAAATGAATTTAAGAACTAATTTCGAATACTTGATTTATTTTCTAGGCAATGCAATATCAATTATTAACAGGACTAAGCGGTTCAATACTATTTTTAGCAACTTTGAAATTTCAATCATATCTGATCGTACAATTATGGTCAAATCAGATACTATTACCAATAATTGCTGGTATATTCATTTATATTTCAACAGTACATCTTATTCCAGAAGTAATTGGCAGTGATTATGGAATGAAAAAGACTATTTTAAAAGTGAATGCTTTTATTGTAAGTGTTCTTTGTATATTGTACTTAAAGAAATATGAATAAATGCTTTTGTATTCATGAAATTGTTTGCATTTAGCTTTAAAAAATTAGAAAGAATTTGTTTTCTATTGAATCTAATAGAAAAAGGGATACGAAACTGAAGATTGCTGGTCTTATTAATAACGATTCTTGCTGATCTTAACCGATGGTTCACTGTCACTATTTGATCTTTAAGTAAAAGGAATCTAACAAAAAATAGAATTTCAATTCTATACATATTTATCTGCTCGTAAAACAAACCCAATTTTGTGTAAACCTTCCAACACAAATAAGTATTGAAAATCAAGTAACCAATGTGTTATTTGTGCAGTATGAGTTAATTCAATCGGTTCCATTAGCATAGTACGAAATAACTTCTACATTTCAGTTGATAATAAGAAAACCCAATGGCAATATCATCCTATGTTGCTATTCAGAACTCATAAAAATGCTAACAAATAATATTTCATTTTTCAAAGAGTATGCAAATGTTAGTGTGCATATACAAGAGATAGTCGAATAAGCCTTTAAATAGGCTTTGCTCTGAATCCAGTTGTAATCGAAATATACACAAAAAAGAAAGAACACGCATAAAAAATTCTAACATTCACACTCTACTATCAACAATCTTAAACTCTACATCTAATTTATTCAACATATATGATCAATAAATAAATTGTGAAACTGCCTAAAGCATAATTCATATGTGAATCACTCCAACTTGGTGAAAAGTGACATCTATAGCAATAAAACAATGCTATATTAATACACTTGTATGAATTCTGCTAAAAATTTTTATTTAATGATTTTTATTTCAATGCAAACTTTTTGATTAAAACAAATTGTAAAAAAGAAGAGAGGCTTCTTTGGAGGACTATAATTGGTTATATAAAGACAAAATTCAATATTTCTATTTCTATTTGTATTGCTTGCTCTTTCTTTATTTGTTGATTAATCTCTCCATTCAATCTTTCTTCTGACTGCGTGTGACCAGTGGTTAACTTCTCCCTCGAATCGTTCTTCGTCAAAAACTAAAATGGATTCAGACAATGATTCCGGTAATTCTAATGATGGTCCAATACATCGTCGTCGTACGCAAGGTACACGCCCACCGCAACCAACGTCACATCAAAATAATTCCATGCAACGAATATCAACTAGCAGTACCAATGTTGACCGTACATATCATCCAACAAAAGATGATGGACCATATTCTGACGATGATGATTTAGACGAAGACGATGAAGATGAAGATGATCAACGTCATCAGCAATCAACTTATCGTGGTCGTGGTCGACCATCACAACAGCAACATTTGATGGATAGTTCATATGACGATGGGAATGATCAACATGATTTACCACGATATACAGGTCCATTACGTGAACAAGATCGATTTCTACCAATTGCAAATGTTGCGAAGATAATGAAAAAAGGTGTACCTGAAAAAGGAAAAATTGCTAAAGATGCAAAAGAGACTATACAAGAGTAAGCTTTTATTTTAAGTTTTTCTTAATTATTTTAATTTTACATATAGATGTGTCTCGGAATTCATATCATTTGTTACAAGTGAAGCATCTGATCGATGTCTGCAAGAAAAACGAAAAACAATTAACGGCGAAGATATTATATTGGCTATGTTAACGCTTGGTTTTGATTCATATGTTGAACCATTAAGAACATTTTTAACAAAAGTACGCGATGCATCAAAATATGATCGTACAATGACAATGGGCGGTGAGTTGAGTGATGATTTACGTATACAAGTTGCTCAAGCACAAGTTAATCAAACATCTGGACCAATGGTTCAAGCACAAGTTGCTACAACTGTTCAAGTACAACCACAAGCGACAGGAGCTGCAGTTTCACTATCTGGTCAGGCAATAGCTGCTAAACCAACTGGTGCAACAGCTAATCCTAATGGACTCGAGCCTTATGGACATTCGGTAAGATTTAGTGGTCGAAATTTTTTTAATACTTAGCAATTCACCGATGGATTGGAATCAATCAGTCTATTCAGTACTAATTTAATCTACTACATTATTGAGTTATTCTTGAGTAAAATTATTTTTTTCAATTGAACTTTAAAATTTCAATTAACATAAGAAACAAGAATTTATACTTGAAATTCAATAATGAAATAATCGAAATTAGACTTCAGTAGAGTTTTTCCATAGTTCTATTATTGTTTGTTTTGCAAATAAATGCAACACTTTGAATTCGCGTACCGATACGAAAAAAAACAGTACATAACGATCTAGCAAGATTACTAATGGTTAAATGCAAAATCAGTATAATTTAAGATTCCAAAGGTTTTTTTTGGTGAGAGTACAACTTTTTGATTTAACATATTCCCTTATTAGTGAGATGAAGTATTGATATGAGTCTGGCAATGAATGAATGCGATAGTATCAACGACTTTTTTTCGAACAAATCATAAAAAACATATGGAATAAGGTTTCTTCGCGGCTGTCACCATTATAATTGTGATATATTATTTTTAGGTTCGTGTTGTAACTTGTATTCGAAATGATCAACCAGGTGAAAATCCAAATTATGTGTATACAATTCAACCGTATCAATAAACAACAACAACATAAATAAATAAAGGACAGAAACAATTTGTACATTGTGGTTTTTCTTTTTTCTTTTGGTCTCTCTGTTTGTACATTGTTTGTCTATCATACATCATCAATGTATTTGTGTATACGTCTCTGTTTTCTTCTATTTTGCAACAAATCTTTACTAATGGGCAATTATTTCTTCTTACAGATAAAATTTTAATTCTATGGACGATTTATGTTCAGCTATTCAATCAATAATTGATAGTGAATTAGATGATCTTATACTTGATTTAGTTTATGAACTTCATTCATCACTTAAAGGCATACCCGAAGAGCAACTTGAAATAAATAATAATGGAACTAAAACAAAAAATATTTCTTTATCTTTATTACAATCTCAAACAACAGCTATTGAGAAACAGACTTGTGTATGTCCGCAATGTGGTCAATCAAATATAATAGCCATACGATTTGCGTATCATCTAGCGAAATGTCTCGGTGAGAGAAAAGGCAAAAAAGAATATTTTCATCAGGTTTTCTTTTACTAATCGAAATAAAAGGACTTTTATGTATTTTTCTAATTTCTGAAGGTGTGGGTCGACGTTCGTCGCGGCAAGCTAAACATCGAATTGTTGATCAAGTTATGACGATAACTGCTTTGTCAGATGAAAGTCGATCGAATGGAGATGAATTTCAGCATGTTGAAGTAAATAATATTTTGCCAGAAGATGGTGGATCATGTACAGGTAAAATTATTTAGTTAATTATATATTTTTTTAATATAAATAATTGAAAAAGAATCAAATTATAATGTTTAATCTTCATGTTAGATTCGACATCAAGTTCGAGTATTAATCATCATCGTCGAATAATAAATGAAGATCAAGAATATAGAGATGATTTTGACAATGATGATGAAGACGAAGATGATTGGAAACCGAAAAAGAAAAAACGGCGAAATCCAACAATGAATACAAATATTGGAAAAAAAAATAGAAAGAGAAAAAAGAAAGATGATATTATTGTTATAACACAACCTATTGATGAACTTGATTTTCATAATTGCATCATTCCACTTGATAAACTTAGGTAATAGATTTTTATTTTAATTTTATTTTCAAACTCTGTTGTTTTCTCTTTCAGTCCACAAAGACCACATACTGCGATTGCATTAGTAAATTCAACAATGCCATCAAATAGTGAAAATATTTTTTTCAAAAGCCATCAAATATTGCCCATTTCTCCTGCGCGATCATCTTGTTTTTCTTCTCGATCGCCCTTGAATCTAGTCGAAGACGAACAATCATCAACAACATCGATAATTATGTTTCAAGAAGACAGTAAACGATAATTCGTTTCACTTTTCTTATTTTTGTTTTAAATCTCTTCTATTATGTGTTCAGTCAATTTTGTCTATTTTGATCTATTTCGAAAGCCAAGAAGTATTAAACGACAGAGAATTTTGATGATAAATTTATTTCTATATTATATTTGTTATAGTTGACTGCCATTATTGATAGTCTTCTCTGTTTTTTATTTGTACAAGAATATGAAATATGATGTTATATATTATAAATAGGATTAAATAAATTATACAAAGCTTTATGCAGAAATAAATAGCAATTTTACATGAAAATTCAGCTCCTCCAATGAATAGCAATCGACCATGTCGATAAATGGATGAAAACTCAAAGAGAAGGTAGTTGTTCTTTTCTGAAGTATATCCAACGTTTTTCTTACACGGAAACCTCGACAACTTATAAGCTGTTTTTTTTCAATAGCGCATGTTTTTCCTTATACATAGCCAAGATCAAAACCAATTATAAAAGTACGATTCGGTTTCGATTGTGTCCGAAAGCAGATATGATTTATTTTTACATACTACCGATTTGTGTCATTTTTTTCTTCATTGTCCCAGTTCTCTGTAAAACAGTTCTCAAAATAATAGCTACATTTATTTAAAATCCAACAGCAATGACAATGCTGTTGATCAAGTAGTAATTTCAATTTCGAGATCTTCTCTTCTAAGGATTTTTTTAAATCTGAAATATCCTACACATAGCATTATCTAACATCATATCAGTGCTCATAAGTTACTACAATAAACTTGCATAGCTACATATAATTTCTAATCTAGTAACAAGATTAATGTTCATCAGTACACACTACTGGAAGAAACGTGTGTTAAAAAATTAATCAGTGTCAGTGATGATCTATTAGATCATTCTAACTGCATTCGAACAGAACAAAAATAACTGACAAGGTCGTTATTAATTGTATTTGAGAGAAAAAAATTTCATCGGATTTGATTCGACGTTATTTGGAAAAATTTTAATTTTATTCGATTCGTTTTCTGTTTTTTATATTTTATTTATTACGACAAGATCATTCATTGATCATTGTAGTTTCTGATTCTTGCTGTTCAATGATAATTTATGGATAATGTGACATTTGATCTTCGACCCTAGTGTCATACATATGTGAAAGTAAAATGAAGTTAAACTTGATGAAGAAAGTTAGTTGAATAATATTAAATGTAAGATTATAATCAAAACGATATTGTCTATGTGATTCATAGTATCAAACAGTGAAGAAGTGTATGATCATTCATAGAAGCACAGACGAATCTACTCGTTTATTTTTCGTTTTCTTATTCGGAAATAAATATTTCTACCATACAAAACACTGATTTCAAGATTTGCTTTTCTAACTGTATCTCTCTTTTTTATATTATAATAAGAAACCAAATGAAACGCATGGAATGTGTAACCTGACTGAACAAGATGCGAGTGCAGAAAATTCCAACAAAGACAAGATAGACATAGAAATTTAAAAAGTGAAATGTGACGACATCAAATAATACACAGACATTTAGACTGTGAATATCACTGATTGAAACAACTATACGTCCACATTTAAACAAAATTCGTTGCGGTACAAAAAACAAAGCAATTGTTCATCAGTAGTGTTGTTAATTATAACTTTTTACAAGATGATCCATCGATGTTATGTTTCCACCACGACGTTTCAGATTTTCTAATAACTGATTAGCTGTAGCACTAAATCGTTGTGGACACGATGAACCTAAAATTAATTAGAATTGATTATTAAATTAAAAGAAAAAGAATTAAGATAAGCAGTAGTATGTTATATGCATGTGAATGAACAGAATCTGCAAACATGCCAGTTAAAGAATCATATTGCTTAAGTTGTTAATTAGCTTTTAATATGATTTGCTTCGATATCAAGACAAAAGAGACATTTCGTGCAGAATCGATTTGTTTGATTCGACTTTTTTCAATTCATTAATTTAAGCTGTTCGAAGTGACTTTTTCCCTCGAGAAGTTGATAAATAAAACTATGAGATATTTCTACCACAACTAATTTGAATAAAAACACATAGGCTCCTGCATAAAACAAATCGATTGTTTATTTTATTTTTGCATGCAATTCAAATATATATATATATATATATATATACGTATATGCACAAACAACCCCGACAAGAATTAAATAAACCCCATCATATACACAAGAATCTCTTACAGAATAAATCTTGAATGAAGTTTAATAACGATGATGATGAATAGCTGAAAAAATAATTTAAGCTGCTCTTCAATTTTAATCATATAGCTTACTAGTCGTTTGAATTCCATTCGTTATAATACAATTATTAAAAAATGTTCTTGGTGGTGGTAATCCATTTGAACTATAGTCAAGCTCCAACAGATTTTCATGACGACGAGCTGTTGCTGCCGCTGCACGTTGTGCAATTACAGAAGAAAAATGAGTATCTAGTCGAGGATCGATAACTGATGTTTTATTTGTAGATACTGTTGCGGTTGAACGACGAAGAGTACTCGGTGATGGTGGAGAAGGAAATTCATTCGATGAAATTTTATCTTCGATTATAATATTTTTCAATTCTGGCGAATTATACATATCTGATGAATGATAATGATTCGAATTAGCTACAATAAAAAATAAACGAAAATAATTTCATCTGAACTATGGACATAGATTTTCATTTAAACATGTCAGAATGCAAATTTTATTATTGCATAAACTTCTTTTTTCTCGTAATGAAAAGGGTTTCTCTTGTTCTAAACCAAAACTATCAACATATCTCTTTTATTTTAATTTCAATTCTAAAAATCATCCATTTTCTGAGGCATTTTTTCTATTAGACAATATATTTGTATTAATATTGTGTCAAATTAGAACTCAAATTATTAAGAATTTTGCTTTCAAAATTTTTTTATTAAATTTAATAGAAATTCTGCAGGAAGTGTCTCATACTTCGGACGAGAGATTCTCATTCTATGCTCTTTTTCATGAAAGAATAAGTATGTCACAAGTTCTACTTGTACATTTTCTGAAGAAGTTTATCAATAAAACAACATTACAAGTTGAACAAAGAATAGTTACTGGTATTATTTTGATGAATTGGTTTATTGAGTCCATTGAGTTTTGTTGACGAAAGAATACTTTTCGATGACGTTTCATTATTGATTTTTTTCAGACGACCTTTTGCTTGTTCAATTTGCATCTGGAAATCATTTTTCGTTGTTGTTAAAGCCGAATCAATTTTGTTTTTTTTCTGTTCAATTATTGATACTGTTTGTGGTTCAACTTTATTTATCGAACGGAAATTTGCAGGAAATGGAGGAGGTGGTGGTGGTGGAGGTGATGATTCGAAAGTTTCATTCTCTATTGAGTTTAGTAAAGCGTTATTATTATTTGAATGAATGGCTATAGAAGTTTGTTTTCGATTATTTGATCGTCTTTTAACTTCACTTGGCTTGGCAGGTAAATGATTGCTTGATGTTACTTTAAATGTTGACATATTAGTTGTACTAAGCGATAATGATGGTGCCATATATATTCCAATTCCATTCTCTTCGTTCAAATTAGTTGTTGCTGCCATTAGATTACTATTCATTGAAGATAAAGACAATTCTTCGTCAGCTTCATTTGATGAGGAATTTGAATTGCATCGAATATTTGTTATTGATGATAAATTCGGGACACTTACAGCTGGTATAAGCGGTTGAAATCTATTATAAATCTGTTGATTTTGACAATTTATAAAATAATCATAAAGAGAAGAATCACGTGCAGGTACAGCTGGTTTGTTTCTTTAAAACGAAAATAGATCTGTAGAAAACATTATTTTAAAATACAAAATATTTACTTTATACGAAGAGATGAAGATCCATTGTAAATATTTTCAATCTGTTGTTTTGAAACAGATACATATGCTTCAGACATACTTCCATATTCATATTCTGCTGATGTCCGATCAAGATCTTCTACAAAAATAAAACTAAGTTCGATTAAAATAAATGACGATCGATAAATTTATTTATTTTAGTTTAGCAAGAATTTCATGCAGTTAGATTATAATTATTATTATGAAAACTTAATTTTTGTAAATACCTAAAACGGTATTATGTTCTGATTTCTTCATAATCAATGATTGAAAAGGTAGTAGTAATTTATTTGACAGTGAAAAAGCTAAAGCGAGTGTGGAAATTATATTGAGAAAAGAAAGAGAACTTTGTGCTAAAGAAAAAACTATGGACATACCACCAAACGATTTTTCAAAGCTCGGACGAAGAGGTGCTGAAATATATATTTTTCTTCTAAGGTTTTAAAACGAAATAAAATTACCTTTACGTCGATAAGGTAACGATTGAAAAGTAGTATAATGTGATTGTGAATCGCGCTGATTATGGGTCAGTGTTGACATACTCGTTGTTACTATTTTCAATGCTAAAGTATTTCCGGCTCTTTTTATTAAATTGGCACATTCTTCATGTGGCATACAAGTTACATTGATACCATTGATCTATATGTGATTTAAATATAAGAAAGACAGATAAATATTTATAAGCTTACTTCAAGAATATAATCATTTTTTTTTAGACCAGCTTTTTCAGCATTGCTACCTTTTTCAATACTATCAAGAAACTGAAGCGCAGGAAAGGATCGTGTTGGTTGAAATAATTTTCCTGCTACTATGTGAAATAGAAAAGCATAGTGATATTTGATAGAACAATAAAGCAAAAGGTACCTCGTGAGCCTTGAAGAACAAAGCCAAAACCTTTTTTTCCTCGTTGTAAAACAACAGTACGTGGTGTATATGTATCATTATTAATCATTAATGCGGATAGAGCATCACGACTAATCACTATTGTGTCATCATTAGTCATTTCACCATTTTCTATAAAAAGAATTATTTCAAATTTTCTAAACGCTAGTAATTCACGAAATCTAATCTAAAGTTTTCAAAAATCACTGAATTTATAATATTATCTCTGATTAAGCGTTAATATGGCCATTGTTTTATTTTTCCTTTGAATTATAAGTTTACTGATAATACGGTTAATTATATAACATTAAGAATTCGTTTTCATAGTACTTTTTTTCGAATAATACATCTTCTGGACTCACATGGAATAGCTCTAATAAAAGTATTGAGTTTAGCGTACTGAATAGATACTTCAGTATTCAGAAATGGAATACTCTAAATAATTGAATTAGGTAACTTGATTAAATTTTGTTCCATTCATTAACATACTTCGATACTTTTAGTGTATCAAAATCCTTTAATTTTTGATGTTCTAATCTCCATACTTTCGTTAGTAACTATGTGTTTGTTTAATTGGCACGGTTTTTAGTCTACCTATTCTTAGCTAGCACTAACTCATTTGGTTTCCAATTTATTTTACATATTCAATATTTCGAGATAGGCTTTATTACGATCTACTCTTGTTTTCTTATAGTTACGATTTAACCTGCTTAGAAGCATAGGAACTGAGAAACAAATCAAAGAACTTTTATAAAACGTATATGATAATTATTGACGAATTAAAAAATTAACTTCTACACTTTCCAACTCGATATCATCAGATAACTAGTGTAGTACTTTGATTAAATTACTGATCTCATTCGCGCTTATATTTTGCATTGATATCTCTGACAGATTAATATAGATATGCTAAATTGGATTTATAATAGCATCTTGATTTGAGAATAAATTGAACTTTCAAGTAGTTGAAAAACAGAAATATTTATTAGCCATGTACCGATGTGAGTGTGAGTCTCGGATACTATGTGCAATATAGTGATGAGAAAAAAAGGATATGTTTCAATTATACGAACATAACCTTATAAGAAACTCTCTATGAGTAAAAGAATGATTCTAACTTTTATGAAATAGATAGTTCAGATTTTAAAACTAGTTCGAAATGAGACTTTGTATTTAACTAATATTAATATCTTATTTTTGCGTACGACAAAACTCTCAAGTAAATCTAACTGACTATCTTTGAGCTTTATCGGATTTTCCATGCTTTTATTAACGTAAAATCTGCATCGTTTCGTACCTAGACTATGAGTTCACTAATTAATGTTCATAGACACACTTTTGTTTTGACGCATAAAAGAGACTTGTTTTGCTGTTAATAAAAATTTATGTAGATCCAACAAAACTGAATACAAGTTATTTTAAAATAAATAGCGCAAAGCAATACTATGTTGGTCAATAATTTATATTGATATTTTGCATTTGATCGGATACAGTAGGGTTCTTTACTACATTTCTTATATCATAAACTTGAGGCTATGCTATACTGTGCGTTGTTAATAAGAAATCATGATTTCCGATTAAAATTTTGTGATATTAACTGATGTTTATGATCAGAAGATAAGAAAAAAGTTTTTTCTTCTGATTAACTAAATATCCTAACAGTTTTTTGACTGTCATATTCCTTGAAAATATCATTGAGAAATCATTAAATTAATTAAGATAATAATCTTTAAAAACTATAAATTTGTAAATAAAACCCATGTAAAAATCTCTAACTAATTTTAATCTATTTTAAGCAAAATAAACACTTACTAAAAACACAAATATCTTGGACATGATTACTTGGAAACCATCCTTCTACATTTTTACATCTTCCTTCTAAATATCCTTGTTCACCAACACTTAGAACTAAAACAAAATTTGACACAGTTTCCAATTGAAAACAAAAACCAAAAGCTGTATTCTTACTGTCAACAATATCTCCCTTATGCAATGATAATTCTCCAGATAAATTCGCTCGATAAGACTTGATACACATACATTTTCGACCGGGTGCTGCTGCATATAATCGTTTTCGTTTATAGATGTAACAACCATTTACAGCGTTTGGGGAGTCTTGATTTTTAAATAAAGAATATCAAATATGAATAGAATAATTAATAATAGCTTAATCTTACTAGAAGATAAACGTGAAGTACATTCACTACCAAGTCCATGATCACTATTAACACTAAACGATTTCGGTGATGAACTACGACTTGGTGGATGTTGTTGATAAAGATTTTCATTTGCTGGTGAATTACTTCGATGTAAAATATTAATACTATTCAACTTAGGCATACTTTGTGATCGATTAGCTAATGACAATGATGATGTTGTAGTTGATAATGATCTTATTCGATGTTTATCTTGCTCAATATATATAGAACGACGTTTTGGATTAATCAATGGTGTTTCACGATAGGGTACAACATGATCTGGTTTATGAGATTGGATAATTGTGGCGATTGAACAATTTTGAGATACTAATGCAAGTTCATACGGAGTTTGATTAGATTTATTTACAATCTTTACGTCAGCTCCACGAAAAAGTAGTACACGAGCACAAGCTTCCTGAAGAAAAAATAATTTTCATCAATCTAAATTCTCGAAATAGTTCTCGATAATTACTTGATTTGTTGCAGTGCAAATATGTAATGGAGTATTTCCAGCTGTATTAATTGCATTTATATCTGCTCGATAAAAAAGTAAGTGTTCAACATGTTGAACAAGACCAAGACGACATGCTTGATGTAATTCAGTAGACAAATAGTCATCACGACAATTTACTATTGAATGATCTTGCAATAGTAATTGACAACAGTACGATGAATCATTGATTGATTCATTATGATTATTTAAAACTGTATGATAAAGAGGTGTTAAACCTTTATTATCATAGACATTCGGAGATGCACCAAGTTCCAGAAGAATCTGAGTTTTTTTTAAAGAAATAAATAAAAATTTGTTTTTCGAATTCAACAGGGACAATATTTTCAACATACCACAATAGATTCTTTACGATGGTGAATTGCAGATTTATGTAGAGGTGTGAAGCCACCATTACGAGTACGAAAATCTAGATGAGCACCACCATTCACTAGCGCCAAAATCATTGATCGTGGTTCAATTAAATCAATACATGCACATGATAGAACTGTTTCTAAAATAATTCATAAAACTAGTTTCATTAAAAGACCTATGATTAAAGCTTTATGACACAGAAAACATTTTCTTTCTTTGAGAAAAATGCTCAAGTCAATCTAATGAAGACCGACATTCTCAAATTGAAAGACAAATAAAGGATTTAGTAAGAAAATATCTAGTAATCTTATGAAAACATTTTCTCATGAAACAAAAAACCTTTGATTTAAATTTTGTTCATACATATGAAATTGATAAAATACAACAAGTCTAAGAGAATTCGATCTGAAATAGTGAACTATTTTAGAGCATCGATTATTTTGTTATGTCAAAATAACCATCAGATCAGCTTACTTATAAAATTTCAGAATATCTATTTAATTGATCTATAAAAAGAAAAATAGGATGTATATACCAGAGACCGTCACAGGGCAACTTTTTTTGCCCTGCCCTGCCCTGTCTCAGGGCAGGGCAGAGCATGATTATAAATTGAACTGAAATATTGAAAAAGGTAAAGACTAAATGAAAGTGTTGTGGCCGCTGAAAAGCAAAGTACTCATATTTTATTTATCTATATTCGAGAAAATATAGATATGCGCTTAAAACATAATTAAATATGAGTAGCAAACAGCAATTAAGATTATCACAAAAATCAGTTCATTGCAAAAATAATGCGCTTATCGTGATCTGGCGAATTGAATATGTATATAATTTGAATAAGTGAGAAATCGAGTAAATCTTTCACATTTATTCTCCTCAACTCATCGTGCTGGATAAATAAAGACTCTTCAAAATGTACCAGTAGCAAGAGATTCATTGTGTATTATGGGGTGGTAAGATTTATCATGAAACAAGAGATTTTCTAATTTTGTAGAACCGGGCGAGTTCATATCAAGTGAAAATAATTTAAAACATAGAGAACTAAGCATACAAAACTAAAACATGCGAAGAAATTTACCATTAGAACATGTTGAATCTTTAAGTGAAATTTCCTCTGGAACACTAAGCTCATGTCTGAAATCATTTAGAAAAAAAGCTCATCATACACATAATTCTTAAATTAGCTCGTTCTCTTACACAATATTAAATGATTCTACCAAGTTTTGCATTTCTCTTTGAAGCAGTATTTTATTTTTATAATTGAATTATATGATAATAAATGAGTAAACTGGTATTGTCTGAACTAGACATAGCAACAAATTTCACAGTGGCTGGCGCATAATGACATACATTATAATCCATCACCATGCCAGCATAATCGACTGAAAAATCTGCTGTATATCAGTTTATAGGAAAAATTATCAGGGCGCAGGGCGAAATATTTTGCCCTGCCCTATGACGGTCTCTGGTATATACATATATCCTGATCACAAAATACTCATGAAAATACCATCATAGTGTTTGACAGATAATGAGTCAAGAGAATGTATGAAATTTTACAGCTTAATATAATTGACGACCTCATATGAATAAATGTTCCCGTCAAAAAAATCTTAAGTTTGAAAAAAATGTAATATTAAAGAAGAATTATAGAATCAGTCGATATGTTAATCTCTTCGAAATTTCTAATGCTCATCGATTTTTATATATTTTCTAATGCATACATTCTTGTATGTATGAATAAAATTCGAACTTCAAAGCGTTCAATTATCTTACAACATGGCATTATGAAAGTGCAAATCATCATAGTAGAAAAGTGTTTCGATTAGTATGAATGTTTGTCATCATAGAGTTCACAAATCTCCTAGTGACAATAACATATTCACTGAACAACGTTGTATACACGCTGTTTGGCATCAAGAAAGTGTATTTCATTTCATTATTGTTTAGTTCGATAATTAAACAAGTGTAAATTGAACTCACTCAAAAAAATTCTTGACTTACCATCATTAGAAATATGAAAATTTGGATCGAATCCCTTTTCTAAATATCGAGTAACCTTTGAAATTTGATTTGTTTTGATACAATCAATAAATTTTTTTGTGCTAACCTTTTGTTAATTAATAAAAAATTAATATTCAATAAAAACTTGGTTATTCAATCGTAACGTACTTTTAAATTAATATTCTTTTGTACAAGATGAATTGCTTTATAAACACGTCTTTTATATTTAAACTAAAACAAAAACAAAACAGTACTCTTTGTGTAAACGTTTTCTTCCAAAGGAGACAGTATTTACTTCAAGATAACTAACAGGCCCAATTAAAGGATATTCTCTAAGACAACGAGATTCATCAAGAAATTTTCCTGCTCGACCATTACACGATGGTAAATATAATCCAAAATTTAAACCATCAATCAATACCTAGAAATAAAAAATATTTTTCCTATTTTTCATCTTCAGAAAAATGAAAGCTTTTTACTCGAACAAGAACTTGTAAGACTTTCTGTTTTGCATTCCATACCGTATCATCCAAATTAAATTTGAGAACTTTTTGTAAATTATGATCTTCGACAGCTATTCGTATATATATAAAACTGCTATCTTGCTCTATTCCACTATCATCTTTTTCATCTTGTTGGTGTGCCACTGTATTTGTTTGGATTTCTTCACTTTCCATTTATTTTTACCTTTAATGTTACTTAATCATCTAAAAAAAAACAAGACAAATGACAAGGGAAAAAATAACTAAAATCGTTTACAAGGCCATCTAGTTTAACGGAAAAGAAAACAAGTTGAAATGAATGATTGCCTTTTTCCTGTATCAATTTGCATAGTTAAGTGTCGTCTAGAAGGAGATTTTTGTTTCAATGAATTTCTTACAATTGCGCACACGCGCCGTCGTAATTTGATTCTCTACCTTTTTTCTCTTACTCGGTGTATTTATTTTTCCTCTTCATCAAACTGTTCAATGTGGCGCTTGAGCAAAGGTGAGAGAAAAGGAATGGTACATAACCAATCGGTCGATGTCCGTCTGAGGCAATAAAAACAAAGCGATTCGTGTCCGTCTTTGAATGATACTTGAAAAAAAAAGAAAGAAATTCAAAGAATCAAGCTGAAACAGGTACCTGTTTGTTATAACCATTACATCATTTCATTAGATTTTTTTTCTATTCAAATAATAGTAGCAAAGAGAAAAAGAAATATTTATTTGTTAACCTCAATATTCGATATAAAAAGATAAGACGTTAGTGATGTTCTTTCGTTCTATTCTCTCTCTCTCTCTCTCTCTCTCTATAAAGTGTATATACGGTGAACATCAACAATAACAACAACGAAAATATACGTATGATGTTAACAATCGGTTGGGAGGGGTGACCGATGGTCTGTCTAGAAAAAGAAAAAGAAAGGCAAATAAGAAAATATGAACGAAAGTGAGATGATCAAGCAAAGTAACCTATTCGTTGTAAGTCAAGAAAAAAAAGATGATTGAATAAATTTCAATTTAGTCTAAAGTTGTAAATCAAAATATTTTCGTAATTTTATTCTCAAATAAACACAGATAAAGAACTATATATTTGTATATATACTAATGATTAGTACTATTCATTTTTTTCCTCAATTTCTTGATTCAATTGCTTCTTTTTAAATTTTTGATATCGATTTCTTATGTTCAATAAATATCAACAAAACAATCTAATAGTTCTCTGGTTTAGTACAATACATTGAATTTAAAAAACAGCAATATTAGTTATTTATTTTTCTCTTGACAAAAGAATCAACAACTTAGTACATGTTGAACTGTATATGTACTCATTTATGCGTGAATACAAGATTCTTAATGATGTAATAGTTCCATTTTTTATTCTCTTGCTTTAGCACTTTTTTTCTGACTTACGAAGGAAAGATAATAACTGGGTCACTCACTCTAATGGATTTTATTGAGCATCTGTGTACTGGCACCGAGGGTTAAAACCTTGAAGATGTAAGTGGTACGTGTGCCGACAAGAAAAAAAAGAAAGCAAGAAAAAAGCACAGTAATTCTAATGAGTCTACAAGTAAAATGAAGGTTGAGAGGTCTTCCCTATACACATACGTCCGTACTGAGAATACCACCAAGTGAGACGTTGAAATCACTGACAAGAATTATATGAACAAGAATATATTAAGTGCTTTGCTTGAAACGAGCATGTTAACGTAGAATAAATAAAATCCATTTATGTACTTTTCTTTTTTCTTCTCGCTACAAAATCTCAATATGTATATATATTACTCAAGTAATTAATAAGCTATTTCTCTTCTTAAATATACAATTGGCAACAAGTTCGTTTTAAAATGTTTCAAAATTTTACGAAAGTTAGTTATCAATATACTTACTCGTTTATTGTACAATCAATATTCATTGAAGTAATCGATCATAATCATTCATCCATTTGAAATCGATTGATTGTTCATAAACTCGTTGAAATAAGCAAGTAAAATATATAGACATACAGTCTGTATGAACTCATTTTTTTCAATATGTCAAACAGGGTCATTTCTTTTCCTTTTTTTTGTCACAAGAGATAAATCCTTTTCTCAATATTGATGATTATCTTACAGCCGATAATTATTCTTTAGTTAGACGACCTACTAACATTAATATGGCGCCTCATCTTTGTCAAACGATGACACACATAGAAAAAAAAAGAAAGCTAGTGTATTCAAATATACAAGAAAAAAAATGAAAATAGTCTATAACATAAAAAAATACTATTTGTCTTTACTAAAAATAAACTTCTCAGAAAGAGTTATTAAAAAAAACATCATACACTCGTATGAAATATTGAAATAGTGCAGTGCTATGACTTAGCCACTAATTCATTATATCCGTCTGTGTTCTCACTTTTTTCTTTCTTTCTTATTTTACTTTCAATTGCATGTTCATTTGAACAGACAGATGAAGAGAAAAAAAATAGAGAAGTTAAAGCGGTATGCAAAGTAATAGAGTAGTTCAATTGCCTGACCAAGACACGTTACGAACGAGTGAGAAGAAAAAGAATTTTTTCACTGACGTTGAGTAAAGAAAGAAAAAAGCGAACACATTTCTAATCACAATGAATGAGGCTTTTTTAAATTATTATCATGTCACAGATAGCGTTGACACTATATAACGATGACAACCTCATTTCAAGTTGATACATTTAGGAATGTAAACATCGATTTTATTAGCCATGAACTTATTATTCTACATGTCATGTCGAAAGACTAATAGCAGATCCAATATGGAAATATTTAAAAAAGCTGACTAATGTATGAATTAATATCTTTTGAAAAAAAAATGCAAAAGAACGTAGCGAAATATTACATGAATAATGTTTAATTATGTAGTTCTCAATTATTCTTACTTATCTGAACAGTAGATAAAAACAGTTTTATTTTGATGAATAGTGTAAGTTTTTGATATGATCTGATTAGTCTTGCTAGTATATCAAACAAGAATTATCATCTCTGTTAAAATGCCAAACATAGCAATAAAAAAATATATCAAGCATCATTAACTCTTAAATTTACATAGAATAAGATTTTAGTTTACGTCCATTTGATTCATAAACTAAAATTTGCAATAAAAAATCACAAGATCGTATTGAGCTATAATAATTTCATCTATAAAGTTTACTTCTTATAGATATTGAAAAACCGCTGTTTTTTATTTTTATTTTGATTCTTCGTCTATTCATCTGGTTAGATATATTTTAAACGCAAGTGAAACAGAATGATGCTCTGCGTTCTTCGAAATTCACAGTAAGTTCTAAGTAATCTATCACGATGCATCATCTATATAATTAGGAGCAATTCAGTCAATTTGTAAATTCTTGGATTTCAATATTAATCCCCTGTTTGAATTTCATATTTGTAATTCATTGGAGGATCTTTTCTATTATTTTGTACAATAGATGAATTTAACTTGATGGAAACAATCACAAGCACGATTAATGCAAATAAACAATTTTAATCTATACTAGATGCTTTGTATCATGTCAAAAATGTATTATTTCAAATCTATAATTATACTTCGTTAAAAGGATGTTTCATTGAATATTAGTATAGATGAAAACATCTGACAATAACTAATTTTCAATTAATATAATAATTTTTTTCAAAGCATTCAATAATTATTGAATATGGGAAATAACTTTTGAAGTGACAGATGATTTTATAAAATTCCACAATTCATAAATTTTTTTATTGATGGAAAGAAAAGCAAATTGTAAAACTAAACCATTAAAATGATCACAATTTCAAAGATATTAAATTTTCAGATCGATATTCTCATCGAAAGTTGAACGAATCTTCACTTGTGCTTTTCCTTATTGAATTTCAGAGTAAATATTTATCAGTTCTCATACTTATGATAAAAATTTAACTGATTTAAAAAGATGAATAAAACTTCGTGAAAGTACAAGAGAAACTTCTGTACTAAAGAGTTAAAAATCTTCGAAAAATGCTTCAAATGTTTCTGATTAATTATGATGAAAGCACTATATCTAATTTTGAGCTTCGTCGTGTCTCGTCTCTCAAAAATAAATAGAGTTCACAGAAACTAAGCCACAATAAATTAGTTCTTAACTATAAATATTTGTTTTTGATCTTAGCTCAAATATGAGATCAATTTAGTATTATTAAAATTAAGATCATCAGTATATTTTCCATATCATTGCATTTGATTTTTCTTCACTCTTCGACTACGACGAATGGTATGAAAGTGGATACATAGAAAATCATACGAGCAATTTTCAACACTCAAAGTTTCTCTCTATTTCTGATTATATCTACATAACAAAAAAATCGTATTACGTATTTCTTAATTTGATTTTTTCGGGGACTTCATGAAAATAAGAAGCCACCATATTATTTCTTTCTGGACAGTAATAACAGTAAATTCTGCTTAATCAATATATTTATATTTCAGTCGTGAAATCATAGTTTTCTCGTTAATGTTTTGAAATAGTCAGTCTAAAATCATCGAAACAGTCTGAGGGAAAATTGTTCGCCAACTAGGAAGTAATATTAGACTTTCTTGTTACAAACGATGGGATATCTTGATCTAGAGATAAGAGTTAGTATCAAATAAATAATTTCCTTGAAAAATGTTGCCTATTCCAAGTAACTGGTAGTTGTCGCCACTATCTATAGTCGTCCTATGCAGTATAAGTAGTATAAGTCAAGTCATAGACAAGATATCTGATTCGTCAAGAGCATTCACCATTCTATATAAGATCTTTAGTTTTGACTGGACTGATTAGCTTACTGACTGACTGCGTTTGCTTGCCTGACTCTTCTTCGTCATATTTTTTTCTTTTTCTTTCGACTGTGATGATGCTCAATAATAAATAAATTATTCGTGAATATATATCTGCAATGTTGTTCCCAGATACACACTCATGGATTGCCATCCTTAGTCAATGTTTTTTATTCTGAAATTAAAGTAACTGGTGATTGATCCAAGTAGTCATTCAGTAGATTATGACTACGCTGTAGAAGAGTTGTATTGCAAGCCATTTCATAATATCATGTCTTTTTTTACTATTCATCAATGAGGAAGATGTATTTTTGAATTAATTAACATTTTTATATCTCATCCATCGTTGCAGTTATTTAAGGCTAAACAAAAGTAAGGATAGATTTCGATTATATTTTCTGTTTTTCATTAATTTCTATTATCATGGCGTTGCTATTTAGGATTTTCATGTAGCGTCGTTCATTTGAGTAAAATTTATTTTCTTATTTAGTGTTGTAAAAGAAACTACGTAATTTTACGTTCATCGTTTTTACTATTATTATTATATTAAATTCAATAGAATAATGTATTATCATTACAAAAAACTTCTATTGCATAGAAATATCAAATCGACGATAGAAATAAATGCAATTCTTTTTCATCGTTTTCTTTTTCTATCTGGCGGAAGAAAAAAATACCATGTTTACATATCTTATTGATGTCTTGGATAAAAAAAACATTTTCTTCGCTAAGTATCTAGCTAAGTCGATCTTTCTTATGAAGCGAAAAATATATACAAAGCACTAAGTGTTGCTTGAATGTCAGAATAACACTCGTTTTCACTTAGTAATGATAAGAGAGACTTCCAGATAAATAATGTGAAGAAACTATATGTTTTTTCTTAGTCAAGCAGAGGTAAAACCATCTGATATTGTCTAAGACTGGTTGATGAATGATTCAATTATCAATGGATATGCTTTTCTCTCGTCATATCACTCTTAAGGTTTTCTTCCTTTCTTCCTTGTTTTTTCTTCTTTATGTTATGCTTGAAAGAGAATCTTTTGAATAAGAAAGAATGAACGAGTTTCTAATAAAGAAAAAAAAACGTAATTATTGCCTTTAAAATGCCAGATCGCGGGCAACGAATTCTTACTGTTCTTCACAAGTATGTATTATTGTCTTTGACACGTCTCAGAAAAAAAAAGAATATAAATAACTTTTTCTAATCTTCTATTTTATTACTTATAGATGTGCAACAATGATCAGTGAAAATCCTGAACCATTAAATTCGTCTATTGAGACCGGTAACATTGATCCATTAATTGGCGTTACAAATATTTGTTTATCTTCATTGGAAAACCCTTCAGCATCAAAAGTTCGTCTTCGTCAATTATTACGACAAGTTGAAAAAGAATTTGAAACTGTGTTACTTGAAAATGTTGCTTTAAGAAAGGAATTAGAACGATATAGTGGATTGAACAATAATAATACACATGGTACAACAACAAGTAAACTTCGAGCATCAAATATATTTCCAATGATCAGAAATCGAGTTGTATTGAGAACAGGAAATCAATCAGATGATTTAATTTTTTCCTCAACAAATCAACATAGAGATGTTATATGGGATGTTCAGGTTCGATTTAAATTTGATTGATTTCATGTATAATAATATTATATAGGCTGGGGGTCTGGATGATCGTTATTTTGGATCAGCTTCTGCTGATAAAACATCGATTATTTGGTCGAGAAAGACAGGACGTTCTCTTATTCAATACCAAGGTCATCGAGGAAGCGTTAATTCATGTCGCTTTGGATATTTCGACTCTGATTTAGTTTTAACCGCAAGTGGAGATCATGAAGTACATGTCTGGAAATGGTCTTTTGATGAAAACAAAGATGATGATGATGAAGACAACGAATCGATCACACAAATCATACGCAGTCCTATATTAGCTTTAAGAAGTGATGATGTTTTATCTTGTGCAGATTGGCTTCAACGAGATCAAGTAGTATCAGCTTCATGGGATAGAAGTGCTACTATTTGGCAGGTTAGTTATTGAAACATACTACTTTCAATATATCATACATATGTAAAGGTGGAAACTGGTACTTCACTTCGTACACTATATGGACATGATGGTGAATTAACTTATGTTTCTTGTCATCAAACAAAACCGCTTGTGATTACTTCTTCGCGTAAGTTCAATCGGCTCATTGATTTCAATTATATTTTGTTTAATGACTTATGACTTTAGAAAAGAAAGGAAACCATTAACTTAGACGAAGATGAGTAACATCGTGTCTTTATAGATCTTCATTTTGTTACAAATGCTGCTGTATAGTTCTTTGTTTTTAAAAGCATTATAACGAGAAAAATTGATAAAATTATTCCTGACATCGTTCAGAACTTTCAGACGAAGGAAAAAATCAATTCATCTAATGCCTTCAGATTAGAACGTCTGATATTCATTAAATTTTTTGTAAAAAAAAACCCATTGTCATTAGAGTTCCTTTCTGAAGAACTGAATTCAGTAAAATTAGTATAGAAATATGTCACTCACTTCTACTTCAAATTGTCATCTAGAGAAGGAAAATGATAATCATAGATAGATATTTATAATACCGAACGAAATACAAGAATTTTATCTATCCTACTGACTTCAACTGAAATGATTGAGTGGATAGATTTATTCGAACACTAAAAATGCAAAACCGGGTAATTTTGTGCTTCTAAACAAAATTGTTGCTTTTTTTTCTTTAAGGCGATGGAACATTTCGTTTATGGGATTGTCGAACTCCAAGTCATTCTGTACAGATATTTAATGGTCATACAAAAGCTGTTAATTCAGCACTATTTCTTGGCAATGATCGTGTTGTATCCTCTTCAGATGATGGTTTTGTTCACATTTGGGATTCTCGTTCAGCTACTTGTTCACCTCTTATTTCACTTGAGTGTGTTTCACCATGCAATCGTATATCATTATCGCACGATATTCTAGCTATACCACTTGATAATCGTGATATTCGACTTTATTCCGCAGTAAATGGAGAAAAACTTCATGTTCAACGACGGGCACATACGCGAGCTGTTCAATGCACAGCCCTTGTTCAATGTGTTAATTCAATGGAGTTTCTTCTTGCTAGTGGTAGTCTCGATCGACATATGCACGTTTGGCATATTAAAAAATTAAAAGGGTCCAGTAATAATAAATTAATAAAATATCTCGACGAATCAATAGGATCATCTATGACGCCTTTATCCAATGAAGGTAATAGAATTGGAGGCGGAGCAGATGGTCAATATAAGAAAACAACGAAAAGAACACCATTAACTGAAAAACCTAATAATGTTGTTACATCAACAGAGAAAAAACAGATTTCAAATACGTCAGCGACAACATCTGATAAGCAACCACAACGGACTTTACCAACAACAACAACTAAATGAAATGGATTCCTTTTTTCTTCTTCTTAGATTAACTACGTAATAATAGTAGCGTACAATGCCTCACTAATCGAATATAATTTATCTGCTGTAATTTGGCTTGAGAATGTTCATCTTTTCTTTTGTTGAGTTATGATTTCTTAATTTTTTTTGTATATTTCCCGTGATTGTCAATATGTATGTATCAAAAAATCAGTGACAATTTTGTTTAACATCGTCAGTGATGAATTGTAACATAAATAGCCTATAGAGAAAAATAAAGTCAAAAATATTTGTCACCTGAGTTTCTATTTTGTTGAATTGCACTAGAATATCGTAAGAAATCTTGGTTCACGTGATAGTTTGAGTTCGAATCTTTCGAGTGATAGCAGAAGATAAAGTTGTTACTATTCACTTACCGATATTCAATTTATGTAAAGAAAACAATTACTAGAGACATGTGTATTATTCGATTAATCCCTCGAGTTGAATAATTGAATGTACTATTCAATATAATAAATCGAGAATAATCATCCATATAAGTAAAACGAATAGTTCAGTTAAATAAACAGTGTCATTAGAAATCTGTTTAGATCCTATATTCATCATGAAAATTATCTTATTATTCTTTCGAACTATTCCAGAATAATAATGAATAGATTTATAGGGTGGCTTCAACAAGTAAGACTGTTCATAGAAACTTAAAAGAAATGAATTATAATTAACTAATTGCTTTGTAACTTACATATTATTGACTTTCTGTCAGTTCCCATCATTTTTTCAACAATCCATTGTCTAGATGGTTTCTCCATATCGTGAACTTGAATAAAAATATTCTTTACATTTTTATTTTTATTATTTCGAGTTATAATTTAATCCTATATCTTACAATAAGCAGTAAGTCAAAGGGAATAAATAAAAACGAAACAAGAAGTGAAATCTTACATTTGATATACGTATATAATTTAATGATTAATGATTAATTCTTAATCAAATAGTGACTAACAGTGACAAAACTTAGTTTCTTTTGCAAACATTAATAACAAAACATCATAAAACAGATGTTGAATGAGACAACATTAAATCAAGTAATGGCAATATAGAGTATACCAAATAGTAATATATAACGAGAAGTATATTTCAACCTAAGCTAAAATATCCGGAAGATATATTTGAACAGTCCATATATTTTACAATCTTATTAATACAAAATAAATTATCGTTTTTACATATTACATACCTATTTATAAAACGATTATATCATACAGCTTTGATGAAAACAATATTTTATGTTAATTCAATTGTTCGTCTCATGGTTTTGAATGTATAAATATACATTATTCTTTTAAATAATTGATATTTATTATAAACTGATGAAGTGGAGTCGCTTGATATGTATTATAATTACATCTTTTTTTTCTGATAGTATTATTGAAAACAACTTTCATTATTCTTATTAAAAAATTAAAACGATTTTATTCTTTTTTTCGAAAATTCAACATTATCAACTCCATTTACATACCTTTTCTTTAAGCTATAGAAATCATCCTCATGTCAATATTTTAAATTGAAAGATTAATAATAATAATAACAATCAAATTAGATCGATTGAGTAAACTATCTTATACATATAAATAAATTTATTGATCATAGGAATATTTCCCGAAAATACGAAGATGATTAAAAGTAGAAATTAAGAATTTTCAACAGTTAATAGCCAAAAAAAATATTTTCTTCGAAAACATGAGAAAGTATGAAAAAATTTTTTTTATGTACCCAATAGAAATAGTTACATATAAATATGCATCCGAGATTTTAAGATAGCAAAACATTGCTCGAAAAATTGATAATGGAGTCACCAACATAGCGATAAGTAGTACCTAGCAGGGACGGCGCGAAGTAATAAAAGTATAGGGGGGTTACTTGAAAAAGGGAGGTTTTTTTCAAAAATCGGAGGAAATCAATAAAAATCTCTTCTATTTTCTTCAAATCGGAGTAAAATTGAAACAAAAATTTCCAAAGTTGGGCCCCTCCCGTTCGTGCCGTCCCTGGTACCTAGAATCTACGATTCTTATCCAATCAATCAAATCGATTTATTATTAGCTATATGGGAACCAAAATCGATCAATTATTTATTTTAAAATTAACAAAACGACATGATCGACTATTCTCATAATGACTCTATACGGGTAGGCAAGGCAATAGTTGCCAAGGTTTGAGAAGTTTTTCTCGTATTACGTTATTGAAACTAAAAGACTATTTGATTTATATGAACTTCCGTCAAATTTATGATACAAAGTAATGCAGTTAAACTTCAAATAGATTTGTAAAATACGATGAATCATTTCAACATACAGTTTATTTTTAGAAACCTATGTATAGAGAAAAAAGTTAATTTTCAATCTAGTTACTTAAAAATTAAGACTAATATCAAATTCATATCAGTTTGCATAGAAACAAAAAGAGAAAGTGATACAAAAAAATCAATAAAACAATAGCTGTCAATTAAATCGAAAAGAAAATTTATGGATATTATTGAGATTCAATCAAACGATGCTTGAAATTCATAAGACTTTGAATCAATATTTAATTCTTCATCTTGAAATAGTACATAAACATCTCTTTCTAGATTTTGTGATTGATGTTGAATGTAAAATTGATCAATATCTTCGTTATAAATAGGTCCAAATAAAACAGGTTCCTTTGGATGCAATGCGTAAAATCTTCTGCCACCGAGAATATCTCTCATATAACCAAGAAGGTCATTTTGTAGTACTCGATCTGTTCCGGAAGGCGTATATTGAAATAGAACATGATGTATAAGACTACTAAGAAATAATTTTTCACTTGAACGAAACACATGTATTTCATAACCTTCAACATCAACACGAAGTAAATAAATGTCTGAAGAAAAATTAAATTGATTTAAATTGATTGTTTCTACGGAGTATACATCAGAGGTATCATTAACTTTATCATGAGATACTTGACTACTGGTATTGAAGCTCATATAAATTCGAGTTTTTGGTGGTAAATCACTAACCGCTTTCGGGACTAGTGTTACGCGTGATTCAAATGAATTTAATTTAATCGACATTCGAAGTAATGAAAGTTTAATTGGATCAACTTCAAACATGTAAACTTGACATCCACATGCAGCAGCATACAAGCCAAACTGACCTATACATAAAACAGATGCCTCAAATTTTAAAGAATGTATTTGAAAGCAAATGCATAGTACCCAATGAAGCACCAATATCAAGAACAATTGTTTTCGGATTTTGTTGGCATTTATCATGAAGTTTTAAATTGTCAAGTAACTTTGTTTGTGCTCGATTGCGATCCAAAGCAACTTCATATCCTTCGTATATATATAATTTATAGGATGGTTGCCTGTCTTTAATTTCAACGAGTTTTTGTTTTATTCCGCTTTCTTTAACTGTTCGATCGAAAGAGCCCAGCCTAACTGTATCTGTTGACTCCGTTGAAAAATACAAATGATTAACAACAATCAATAATGTTGTAAGACCGATGATAAGAAAAATTTGGCGAGATCGAAATAATTGATTGTATAACATTCGACGAATATATGTTTGCTTTACTTGTCTATCAAAGCTCTATAATAAATTATTACAAAAATAAAACATAATTATCTATTAGAACTTTTTGGTTTCTAATCAATGTCGACATAAATAAAACTATTCTAACTTTTTCCATCAATTTTCTCTCTTAATTCTAAAGAAGAAGAAGAATAAAGTAACACACTTTTTTGATGCATAACTCACCCACTTACGAGTTCGACTACGAGCAGGCATCGACTACTCTGTATGTGACAATAAACTAATGGTTCGTTAATTGATTTATTTTCACAAAATAATATTCTCGTTCTCTTGTTTACATTAACAACATACAACAAAAGAATTATTTTACAGCAAGCAAATATGATATATACCATTTTTTCAAGGCTCTCAATTTATGTGACGACATAACCATTTTATGTGCATCTGGAATAAAATAGTAAACTGATTGAAAATGGATGAACCAATCTTCAAACTATTCTCCCCTATCAAAATCAAATGATGTTTGTCTTCTATTAGAAACAACATATTATTCCATTGAAAGTGAATTAAAAAAGAACTGATCGAGCTTTTGATTCTATCGAATTAATACTGTTCATTAAATCTTACTTCTGTATCATAATTTTGATAGGCATAGTTCGTTTAAATAAAGAAGAGTAAGGGGAAATTTTTGTCATTTTATGTTGACAACAATATCAAACATTGAATTTATATCATATTTTCTTACTTTAAGAGTAAAAACATTGTTTCGTTCAACTAAATATATAACCGAGAGCTATCAAAGCCATATCTTTAGAACGAGACGATATATAGGAGATTTTAACTAAAAAACAAATCAATTAAATGAACTTTATCAAGTAAATTCACATATGATTCTTTTTTTCGAATTAAAATTCATTTTATGTTCAAATGAAAATAAATGATGGCATATTTTAAATTATAGAAGTTGATAAATGAAGAAAATTTTTGAAATAACGAAAATCTCTTTAAAAAAAGTGATGACCAATATGAAAACGAACGTGAACAAAGTCAAAATCTTCATCAATAATTAAAAGTTCTGTCAATTATGCTGTTCAAATCAATAGATAAAGATGAAAACAATGTTGAAAATTGTATTTAATTCCGTATATACTAAATATATTGATCTATGAAAAATATATTTACATCAATCATAATCATATATATTTATATTTGATATTTTTCTTTTCCTATATTCCAAATTGGTTGAGTTCTTTTTTCATAGTTTATATATCAAATAGATATCTTGATGCAAAAATACGAAAAACAAAATTTTATTTTATACATTTATAAAATTTATAGAATGTATATGAAACATTGAATAATATTCGATTCTAAAGCATTCAAAGTATATTCACTGGAGTAATTTTGTCATATATTCTGACTTTTTACTTGTTACGAATGATATTTATCTTTATGTTATGAGAAAACTACATTGTTTCTCAATGTAATCATTAGAAATGCATTTATATTCTACTAGAACATCTAATGTGTATAAAAAGTTTGATTAAGTAAAAAAACAAAAATAGAAGAACAAAAACTGCGCTCTAGTTATTTATGATTTTTATTAATGCGATGCGAAGCATAGCATTTATGTAGTTCGTCGCGAGTTTTTAATGCGATGCGAAGCAGGAAGCATTTCTGTTATGCGTCGCGAGTTTTTTTTTTTTCTTTTTTAATGCGATGCGAAGCAGAAGCATTTCTGTAGTCCGTCGCGAGTTTTTAATGCGATGCGAAGCAGAAGCATTTATGTTATCCGTCGCGAGTTTTTTTTTTTTATTTATTTTTTAATT